GAATGACAATGAATGCTGTTATCTGTGGATATTCTGAGTATCTGAGTCAGAGATGTATTTACCACAAGGCAAACAAGGCATTTGCCTAGGGCAGCACTTTCAGGGGGGGCGCCCAAAAATGCCACCCCAAGCTCCCAGACAAATGCCTTGTTTGCCTCGTGTTCTGGGGCTGTCCACCTTACTGAGAGTGAGTGAGTGTAGCTTTCAGTGTGTGTCTGTGAGTGAGAATGGGTGTGCCTGTGAGTGTGTGTATGTCATTGTATGTGTATCTGAGAGTGTGTGCCTGTAAGTGGGTGTGTCAGTGTGTGTCTGTCAGTGAAAGTGTGTGTTGGTTAAATAGTGTGTGCCAATGACTGTATGTGTGTGCCAATGACTGTGTATCTGTCAGTGAGTGTATATCAGTGCATGTATCAATGTGTCTGTCAGTCAAAAAAATGGCCTTGACATGAATTGGGAGGGCGGGGGGGGAATTTAGATTTTGGGGGTGTCCGAATTTAGTCGTGCCTAGGGCAGCACAAATCCAGAATACACCACTGATCTGAGTATGTCCTTTCTCAGAGTTTTAAATTATGTGAAGCATTTTCAAACATTTTTCAAACATTTTTGATTCTGATTCCCTTCTAGAACCTTTGCATCTTTGAATAGTCCAACCACATATGGAGGAACATGCTTCTATGATCACACAGGTGCCAACAGAGATCGGTAGAGTTCTATCTTATTCTGTATAATAATACAGATGTGACATGCCAGAGAAACAAGAATTTAAACAAATGCTCGTAAGTGGTTGGGCATGTCCAACACATACAAAAAGATGGTAGGTCAAATTCCTTCAAGCCGGCCTCCAGATCCACCCATTTCCGATCTCCACATGGAGCATGCCATATTGTCAATTGGGAGAGCTGTGCAGCATAATAATACAATATAAGGTTGGAGAGAGTCAGTCCCTCCACCCCCTGCATTTGGGTCTATATAGTAAATTCCTGGCCAATATATGTCAGTTATTTGGCCAGATAAATATATCTGTAGCCCTCTTTTGAATGTCTATGTCCCCCTTCTTCACCCAACTAGGAAGAGCCTGGAAAAATAAAATAGAAACTTGAGTAGGACATTCCTTTTAATACAATAGATTCTACCAATCCAAGAGATGAGTTTGTCATGCCAATTTTCAATCTCTTTTTGTAGAGTTTGAAGTAGTGGTAATCAATAAAAAGATTTTAAAGATTTTTTCCAAACTTCCTTTCCCACTGTTCCTTAAAGAAATCCATTTGGGTCACGTATTCTGAGGTGGGGTGGGAGGGGTTCCCAAAAGGTAGATCCCCAGATGTTTTAAAACTACAGATTCTATGGCTCTTCTGCCGGCGTGGCTGCACATAAACTAGGCAGCCACACCAACAGAGATGTATCAGACTTACCTTGGTCACGGCGGGCAGCTGCCTGGTCTCCCTCCGTTTTGCTTCCCAGTGGGTGTGACGTTCTTTGGAACACCGGCTGCTGTGGTTCAGGTTTCATAATAAACTTACCTTCGCCCATATCAAAGATGGCGCCAATGTGCGTGCGCTGTCACGTCATAGACGTACACGCACGTTTTGTGGTCAGAGGTCAGTGACAGACAATTACAGCCTAAAGAGGGTTATTTAAACCCTTATTACCTTTTTGTCAGTGCCCTGTCGTGGTTTCCACTAGCTGGTTAGCCGATAGTGTGTTCCTGATCGTGTTTTTTCTGGTATTTGACGTTGGCTTTGTTTTGACTTCCCTGATTTCTGGTATCCTTGACTTCTGTGTAAGGATATGAAATAGTTAACTCTTTTTGCTTTATATGCTTTAAAATAATGTTTGAAATAATTATGCTGACCTTGGCAGATGTATTTTGTAACATGCTTTGAGAGGCCTCCCTTCTACAGGATGTATGACCTCGCTCAACCTCAGGATGTTCCTGTCCCTTCTTTATTTAAATGCTTATCTTTTAATGTCAGACAAGTAAGTACTATAAGGGAGCGATAAATCTCGCTGCTTGCGTGACAAACTGTGTATAAATGCTAGCCCTGAAAATATACTCACTGAGAACTTGTTAAGCACTCTTTCGTGTCTGTGTCTTAATTTGCTAAACGAGAAACTCCCGTCAATTAATGTGGTGATCAGAAGTCCAAAGAACTGAGAGTGTCCAGAGAAGTTGTTTAACCCTTTCATTCTGGCTTTCTTCATTGTGTCTCATTCTGTGTCCCTGACCTCGGCAAGTATTTTGACTTTTCTCTGGTATGTTAAGTCCAGCCATTCTAAGGTCCGGTTAGACGTTATCCTTAGTCTTTAACATGGACCTGTCATGCCACTTTCACCTTAACATCTCAAGGCCAAGTAAGCAATTAGTATATCACTTATAGAGATAAATTATATTTTTTATGGCTTTAAGAAGCTTTAAGAAGCTTATTACCGCCTGTCTGTCCCATGTTTTTACCAATGCCATAATAATGCGTGTCACATTATCATAACACTCACATCCTTCCTTTCTCCTTCTTGCCCAATACAATGGTACTTTATTGGGCAACACTTCTTCAATCAGGGTGCAAATCCACATTTGACATTAGAAATGCACCAAGTGACATTCTCTTCTAGTAGGTATGAAACATGCTCGCTAGGTGAGTTCATGCACAGTAGTTCCTGTGACAGAAATCACCTATATAAGAAGGCGCTCATGCTCTCCAATGTCAATTAGTTTTTCAGTCATTACCAAGTTGACATGTGAGGGTGATGAATCATAGCAATAAAAATATATTTTTTAAATACTTTATTTACAAGAAGCAATCAGGAAGTCAAGCAGTAATTATCTGATAGAATGACCAGTTTCATGTGACAATAAAATCGGTATTGTGGCAGTGGGTTCAATAAATGTGCCTTTTTGTATTCTGGAGTGCCTGGACCTTTCTTCTATTTTTCTCTATTAAGTATTTGGTTCCTGGCACTGGGACTGGCCTGGCTGCACCCAGATATACAATACTTGGGATTGAGTGCAGTTCCACATCTCTACGACTAATAAAGTCGGTTTTGTCATAAGTAATACATCACAAAACAATACTTGGAATGACAATGAATGCTGTTATCTGTGGATATTCTGAGTATCTGAGTCAGAGATGTATTTACCACAAGGCAAACAAGGCATTTGCCTAGGGCAGCACTTTCAGGGGGGGCGCCCAAAAATGCCACCCCAAGCTCCCAGACAAATGCCTTGTTTGCCTCGTGTTCTGGGGCTGTCCACCTTACTGAGAGTGAGTGAGTGTAGCTTTCAGTGTGTGTCTGTGAGTGAGAATGGGTGTGCCTGTGAGTGTGTGTATGTCATTGTATGTGTATCTGAGAGTGTGTGCCTGTAAGTGGGTGTGTCAGTGTGTGTCTGTCAGTGAAAGTGTGTGTTGGTTAAATAGTGTGTGCCAATGACTGTATGTGTGTGCCAATGACTGTGTATCTGTCAGTGAGTGTATATCAGTGCATGTATCAATGTGTCTGTCAGTCAAAAAAATGGCCTTGACATGAATTGGGAGGGCGGGGGGGGAATTTAGATTTTGGGGGTGTCCGAATTTAGTCGTGCCTAGGGCAGCACAAATCCAGAATACACCACTGATCTGAGTATGTCCTTTCTCAGAGTTTTAAATTATGTGAAGCATTTTCAAACATTTTTCAAACATTTTTGATTCTGATTCCCTTCTAGAACCTTTGCATCTTTGAATAGTCCAACCACATATGGAGGAACATGCTTCTATGATCACACAGGTGCCAACAGAGATCCGTAGAGTTCTATCGTATTCTGTATAATAATACAGATGTGACATGCCAGAGAAACAAGAATTTAAACAAATGCTCGTAAGTGGTTGGGCATGTCCAACACATACAAAAAGATGGTAGGTCAAATTCCTTCAAGCCGGCCTCCAGATCCACCCATTTCCGATCTCCACATGGAGCATGCCATATTGTCAATTGGGAGAGCTGTGCAGCATAATAATACAATATAAGGTTGGAGAGAGTCAGTCCCTCCACCCCCTGCATTTGGGTCTATATAGTAAATTCCTGGCCAATATATGTCAGTTATTTGGCCAGATAAATATATCTGTAGCCCTCTTTTGAATGTCTATGTCCCCCTTCTTCACCCAACTAGGAAGAGCCTGGAAAAATAAAATAGAAACTTGAGTAGGACATTCCTTTTAATACAATAGATTCTACCAATCCAAGAGATGAGTTTGTCATGCCAATTTTCAATCTCTTTTTGTAGAGTTTGAAGTAGTGGTAATCAATAAAAAGATTTTAAAGATTTTTTCCAAACTTCCTTTCCCACTGTTCCTTAAAGAAATCCATTTGGGTCACGTATTCTGAGGTGGGGTGGGAGGGGTTCCCAAAAGGTAGATCCCCAGATGTTTTAAAACTACAGATTCTATGGCTCTTCTGCCGGCGTGGCTGCACATAAACTAGGCAGCCACACCAACAGAGATGTATCAGACTTACCTTGGTCACGGCGGGCAGCTGCCTGGTCTCCCTCCGTTTTGCTTCCCAGTGGGTGTGACGTTCTTTGGAACACCGGCTGCTGTGGTTCAGGTTTCATAATAAACTTACCTTCGCCCATATCAAAGATGGCGCCAATGTGCGTGCGCTGTCACGTCATAGACGTACACGCACGTTTTGTGGTCAGAGGTCAGTGACAGACAATTACAGCCTAAAGAGGGTTATTTAAACCCTTATTACCTTTTTGTCAGTGCCCTGTCGTGGTTTCCACTAGCTGGTTAGCCGATAGTGTGTTCCTGATCGTGTTTTTTCTGGTATTTGACGTTGGCTTTGTTTTGACTTCCCTGATTTCTGGTATCCTTGACTTCTGTGTAAGGATATGAAATAGTTAACTCTTTTTGCTTTATATGCTTTAAAATAATGTTTGAAATAATTATGCTGACCTTGGCAGATGTATTTTGTAACATGCTTTGAGAGGCCTCCCTTCTACAGGATGTATGACCTCGCTCAACCTCAGGATGTTCCTGTCCCTTCTTTATTTAAATGCTTATCTTTTAATGTCAGACAAGTAAGTACTATAAGGGAGCGATAAATCTCGCTGCTTGCGTGACAAACTGTGTATAAATGCTAGCCCTGAAAATATACTCACTGAGAACTTGTTAAGCACTCTTTCGTGTCTGTGTCTTAATTTGCTAAACGAGAAACTCCCGTCAATTAATGTGGTGATCAGAAGTCCAAAGAACTGAGAGTGTCCAGAGAAGTTGTTTAACCCTTTCATTCTGGCTTTCTTCATTGTGTCTCATTCTGTGTCCCTGACCTCGGCAAGTATTTTGACTTTTCTCTGGTATGTTAAGTCCAGCCATTCTAAGGTCCGGTTAGACGTTATCCTTAGTCTTAGGTGTGATACTATTCTGCATGCTAGATCAACTATATTCCTGACACCATGATGCTTTGTCATTCTCAATACATTCTAGAGGCATGCAAAGCATCATGGAAGTTGCAGTTCTGGGGATTTACCTTTTGGGCACCCCTGTTATAGATCATCATAGGGGAAGAAATCTTTCTACAACACCTCCCTGTACACATGACCCATGGGGCCCCGGTGCAAAAATTGATCCGAGGCCCCCCCCGCGCGCGCTTACTCGGCGCGGGTCGGGGCTGCATCACATGGCGGCGGGCACGTGGTCGCAGGGCTGCGACCCCGCAACCGTGGTATGCTGAACACACACCTAAAGGACCACTACAGACACCCAGATCACATCAGCTCAATGAAGTGGTCTGGGTGCCAGGTCCCTCTAGTTTTAACCCTGCAGCTGAAAACATAGCTGTTTCAGAGAAACGGCTATGTTTCACTGAGGGTTAATCCAGCCTCTGGTGGCTGTCTCATTGACAGCCGCTAGAGGAGATTCCGCGATTCTCACTGTGAAAATCACAGTGAGAAGACACTGAACGTCCATAGGAAAGCATTGAGTAATGCTTTCCTATGGGCGGTTTAAATGTGCGCACGCGCCTCTTGCCGCGCATGTGCATTCGGAGCTGAGAGGCGGAGGGATCCCCAGCGCCAAGGAAGTCCGGCACTGGAGAAAGGTAAATGCTGAAGACACACACACTCATGAACAGACGCATACACACTAGCTAACAGACACACACATTTACTGACAGAGGCACACTCAGCGACAGACAGACATACACACTCACTTACAAAACATACACTTTCACTGACAAACACACACTCACTAACAGACATCAGACACACTCAGTAACAGACACATCCAATAACAGACACACCCAATAACACCCACACTAACACCCACACTAACACTAACACACACACAAGTGCTTCCTCTTCAGCTCCCTCGCGCGCCACGTAGGAATGCCGGAGCCGGAAGATGGAAGCACTTAGGGGAAAGTGCTCCGGTATCAGTGCGGTGCGCGAGGGAGCGGAAGAGGAAGCACTTAGGGGAAAGTGCTCCCTCGCGCCGGCCACCCAGACAGCCAGCCCGCCCGCTGGGGTCAGCAGGGCCAGCCTCGGGGGGGCCCTGAGGTGGCCGCCTCCTGGGCCCCCCAGGAGAAGAGGCTGGCCCTGTGGGTACATACCGGGTCGCAGGGTTGGCCGTGCCCCCTTGGTGGGCCAGGCCCGGTCGCATCCGCGACCCTGGTATGTACGCCACTGCTGTACGTTAACAAGAGATGTGACAGGTGCTACACCCAGTGTACACAATCCTTATCAAGATCAGTGGGTAGTCAGCAAACATGTTCCCTCATCCTACCTAACGTTAAATCTATCTGCATGGCCTGATGAAACAGATTCTTGCTCTTAAGTAAGTATGTGAGTGCTGGTGGCAATATAGACATTTACAGGACCTACAGCTGTTAAAATCAATGCTGGATACAATCTGGTTCCCAATTTTATTAAAGACACGGAGGCTCATATTATGCATAACTCTTTCTTTATTTCCTCAGCAGCAAAGAAAGAGAAATATAAATATTATCAAAACTGAAGAAAAAACTGTATAGGCACAACAGGTAGCCAATCACAGGGTATAGGAAGTAGCTATATAAGTCTTGTGTCTCCCACAATCCCCCTCTTTCTTTGCTGCTTCCTCAGACAGATAAGTGTTTCTCTGATCTTTGGCTTGCATTGTGATTCCATTTTAATTTGTATTACAGTGTGTTTCATTTTATGATTTTTCATAAAAAAAAAAAAAAAAAACTCAAGGGATCACGACTTCGCTCCGGTCATTCATACGAATCTCGGATAACATTAGACGAGGAGTCCAGGGACGAACTAGCGTGGTGGTTGGCGCACATGGAGGCATGGAACGGAAGAGCCATCTTCGGTTCTGCCCCGGATGTAGTGATAGAGTCCGATGCCAGCTTACACGGCTGGGGCGCTCGTTGTGGCAACGTCTCCACAGGAGGCAGGTGGTCCGACACGGAGAAGTCGTTACACATCAACTGCCTGGAACTTCTGGCAGGTGCCTTCGCGATCCGCAGCCTTGCTCCGGGGAGAGCGAATTGTTGCGTTCTCCTCAAGATGGACAACGTATCAGCAGTTCGTTACATAAATCACCTGGGGGGCACGAAATCCAAAATGTTGGCGCTTCTGGCAAAGGATTTTTGGCAGTTCTGCCTCTACAACAACGTTTCGGTGACGGCGGAACACATCCCAGGTCTGGACAATTCGGGGGCGGATTGGAATTCCAGACACTTACGGGACTCCGGAGACTGGCATCTACATGCTTCAGTGTTCCAGTGCCTGAACAGGTTGTGGGGCCGGTTCCAGTTGGACCTATTCGCGTCACGCCTGAACACTCAGCTACCGAGGTTCTACAGTTGGAGGCCGGACCCGGCTGCAATAGCGACAGATGCCTTCCTCCAGGAATGGCCACCGGGTCTGCTGTACGCCTTTCCCCCATTCAACATGATCGCACGCACGATCTCGAAACTGGTCCGCCACGATTGTCGGATGGCTTTGATCACCCCCCTATGGAGGTCTCGACCATGGTTCCCTCGGCTGATGGAACTGTCCATAGACTACCCTCGTTTACTTCCGGTATTCCAAGACCTCCTTCTGGATCCGGATGGGAACTCTCACGACCTGGTGTTGCAGCATCAGCTACCCCTCATAGCATGGTTCCTTTCAGGGGACCTTGGGTTATCCCAGACGTTTCGCAGTCAACTCTCCGACTCCTCGATAACGCCTGGGCCCCGGGTACACGGACAGTTTACCGACATTCATGGAGATCATGGTCTGGTTGGTGCATGGAACGGGCAATGGATCCCGTATCTGCACCTCTGCCTTTGATTCTTGAGTTCCTCACGTTCCTATTTGATTCGGGCAAGGCATACCGCACGATCAACCTTTTCCACTCAGCTATCTCAGCCGGTCACGAAGGTCTAGACGGTTCTCCGGTTGGCAAGCATCCTTTTGTCTGTCGACTTCTCAAGGGTATTCGCCTTGCTCGTCCTCCTCGACCTCGTTTTGCCGCCTTTTGGGACGTCAACGTGATGCTACAGTTCCTATCATCATGGTACCCCAATTTGGAGCTGACTCTCAAGCAATTGTCTGCCAAATTGGTTATGTTACTATGCCTGATTTCTTGCAGAAGAGTCTCTGACGTTCGGGCCCTGGACTGGGACGCCGTTGCATTCACCCCAGAAGGCGTCACCTTTGACATTTCCAGGAGGACCAAGTCTGCATCTAAGTCACTTACATACCCTAGGTTTTCAGACTGTCCAGCGCTCTGCCCGGTGGATTGCATCAAGGACTATCTGGATGTTACACGTCCCCTTCGCATGACAGACCTGCACGATCTGTTCATATCCTTTAATCGCCTCACCGGCCGGTTTCGACTCCTACTCTAGCACGTTGGGTGCGCTGGCTGCTATCCTCCGCGGGTATAGACACCTCAGTATTTACGCCCCATTCTGTCAGGGGCGCGATGGCCTCGAAAGCCTCTTCAGTCGGATGTCGCCTAGAGGACATTATGCGAGCGGCGGATTGGTCTCGGGAATCGACCTTCCGAACCTTCTACTTCAGGCCAATTGAGCACATCGCATCTCGTGTGGTGGCACAGCTTTGAACTTGCATAATATGAGCCTCCGTGTCTTTAATAAAATTCCCAGATTTTACTAGTAACATGACGTAAAGTCATGATTTTATTAAAGACACGGAGGCGAGTATTATTCCCTCCCACCCTCCCGGTGTGGAGTTGGGGTACGAGATGCTTGGTGGCTCTACAGGTATGTTTTTTCAGTTCGATCTGTATCCTATCAGTTGATTTGCATCTTTTGTACGGGTTGTTGTACCTTTATGCTGTGTACTAATTCTGTTGTTTTTATATTTCAGTACTCTGTTTTACCTGTGTCTCCCCAAGACTATGTTTGGTAAGTTTGCAGTTCTGAATTAAGAAATTACCATATTTCTCTATCTTTTTTAGCTTGAAATTGTCGCATCGTTTTCTCGTTACCCTGTTTCGGCCAAGTGGGACATCGTTCATCTTACCTGGTCTTCGGTTCGCAAGAAAGAGGGGGATTGTGGGAGACACAAGACTTATATAGCTACTTCCTATACCCTGTGATTGGCTACCTGTTGTGCCTATACAGTTTTTTCTTCAGTTTTGATAATATTTATATTTCTCTTTCTTTGCTGCTGAGGAAATAAAGAAAGAGTTATGCATAATACTCGCCTCCGTGTCTTTAATAAAATCATGACTTTACGTCATGTTACTAGTAAAATCTGGGAATTCTGATACACTTTATTGACAAGAAAATCTAAAGTTCTTGTTGCTTTGTTTGCTTCATCGGTACTTTCTCAACAGCAATACTGAAGATTTGAAGTTGTTCATTAAAAAGTACTTGAACAACCAAAAACCCTTTGACCTCTTATATACCTTATCTAGCATGACCAACATTTTTACCAACCTGACTATACACTGGTTATGTACAGTACTAATTATGATACGTATACATAATATCATAATCAAAAGAACACTTAAAAGGTTACTCTAGTGATTTGAAGTAGGGCATTTTGTATGGAATCTGTATCTTTAAATGCTGCACTAACATAGATACAGAACTTTGCTGCCAGAGGTTTAACCAGCAGTTGTTACAAGCTGATGTTCTGGGCTGCCAATGTCAGTTCAGTACAAAAGATCTGTCATCAAGAAGCATATCATGCTGGCGATAGACAACCAAAGGCGGCACATCCTACCTTGATACCAGCCAAGTCCTCCCTCAGCCCAGCCTTTGAGACGTCCCTCACCCTGCAGCGAGGGGGAGTAAAATTACCGTAGAAAGTTTGGGATGCTGTCTCAGCAATAAGATTGCAGGTGAGGCCTACTTTTATTTATTTTTATTTCATACAATCCTATAATATTTGAGAGGACTAATTCTCCCTAATTCTGTTAATTTTGCTATGAAAACTACATAGTCTGCTAAAACCACGTTACTCTTACACATCACAGTTAAAGGAACACTATAGGGTCAGGAAAACAAACATGTATTTCCGATCCTATAGTGTTAAAAACACTATTTAGGTCCCCAGCTCCCTCTTGCCATCCCTTATATAAGATAAAAACTTACCTTTATTCCAGCGCCCCATGGGTCCGACTGTGCTGGCCCTGCCCCCGTTCTGCATCCTTGGCTGAGATCATCAGCATGGGTTATATCAGCCAATCTAATGCTTCCCTCTAGAAAAGCATTGCGAGGCTAATGCGCACGATTGGCAAAACACTGCACTGCACCAATCAGCATCTCCTCATTGAATAATGCAGAACGTGGATGCAGCACTGACCCATGAAGCACCTCTATTGGCAGTCTCAATGACTGCCACTGGAGGTGTCCCTATACAGCTATACCTTTATTCCAGCGTCCCATGGGTCCGCCAGCGCTGGCCCTGCACCCGTTCTGCATCCTTGGCTGAGATCATCAGAATGGATGATATCAGCCAATCCAATGCTTTCCTGTAGAAAAGCATTGCGAGGATCGAAGAGCGTGGATGCAGCACTGACCCATGAAGCACCTCTATTGGCCGTCTGAGTGACTGCCACTGGAGGTGTCCCTATGCGGCAATGTAAACACTGCCTTTTCTCTGAAAAGGCAGTGATACATGAAAATGTCTGCATTGACATATAGACACACAAAAACAAATACATTAAAGGACCACTCTAGGCACCCAGACCACTTCAGCTTAATGAAGTGGTCTGGGTGACAGGTCCTTCTAGGATTAACCTTTTTTTTTTTTTATAAACATAGCAGTTTCAGAGAAACTGCTATGTTTATAATAGGGTTAATCCAGCCTCTAAAGCCTCTAGTGGCTGTCTCACTGACAGCCGCTAGAGGCTTTGCGTGCTTCTCATGCGTGCTGAAAATCACAGTGAGAAGACACAAGCGTCCATAGGAAAGCATTGTAAATACTTTCCTATGAGACTGGCTGAATGCGCGCGCAGCTCCTGCTGCACATGCGCATTCAGCCGAAGAGGAGGAGAGGAGGAGGAGAGCTCCCTGCCCGTCACTGGAAAAAAGGTAAGATTTAACCCTTTCCTCGCCATCCAGCTTGGCGGAAGTGGGACCCTGACGGTGTGGGCACCCTCAGGGCACTATAGTGCCAGGAAAACGAGTATGTTTTCCTGGCACTATAGTGGTCCTTTAAGCTGTAGTTGTTCTGGTGAGTAAAGTGTCCCTTTAATACTTTGCATCAAGTATTCAAACTACATCAAGTATATAATGTAAACTTTCTTACAGCAAATATTTGCATTTGAGTCATATGATTTGTGATAGAGAAAAATGTGTAAAATGAATGAGACAAAGGAATTATATGCAGTCTCAAAAAACATGCTACTCGGTTGTGTAGCAAAGGGGGAGGGAGGGGGAGAATTGTCATTAGGTGCCGTTTTTGATGGGGTGCCAAAGGGCTGGCATATTTGCACTGGCAACAGTAGAAAGGAATTGCAGGGTAGTATTGCAGAATCTGTCTCTGGTAATGCTCCCTCAAGATTCTTGGAGCTGTGGCACATAATGCATATTTAATTATTCATACAGTGATCGTTAGAGGCTGCAACAGCCTTAAAGGACCACTATAGTGCCAGGAAAACATACTCGTTTTCCTGGCACTATAGCGCCCTGAGGGTGCCCCCACCCTCAGGGTCCCACTCCCATGGCACTGAAGGGGGAGGAAGGGGTTAGTCCCTTACCTTTTTTCCAGCGCCGGGCTCCCTCGGCACTGGGACTCTCCTCCCTCTTCTGACGTCCCTGCTTTCCTATGGATGCTGGCGTCTTCTCACTGTGAAACTCACAGTGAGAAGCGCGGAAGCGCCTCTAGCGGCTGTCAATGAGACAGCCACTACAGGCTGGATTAACCCATAGGTAAACCCATAGGTAAACATAGCAGTTTCTTTGAAACTGCTATGTTTACAGCAAAAAAGGTTAAACCTAGCTAGACCTGGCACCCAGACCACTTCATTAAGCTGAAGTGGTCTGGGTGCCTATAGTGGTCCTTTAATGGTCAATTGGGTGGGTCGGGGTTATATATTTGGGAAGACTCACAAATCAATATTTTAGCAGTGCAGAATCTCACTGCAAATGTTAAGTCCTAACATCCAACTGCTGGTCAGGATATTAAATCAACAGGATTATTCAATAAAGTGATCATTTAAAGTGAATTTAAAATTTAAGGTCAAAATAGCCAAACCAGAAATATGCTCTAATTCAGCTATGCTTCCAGTTCAGCTACTTTAGCCTTAAAAGGACATTATAGTCACCAGAACAACTACAGATTAATGTGGTTGTTTTGGTGTCTACTGCCTGTCCCTGCAGGCTTTTTAATGTAAATACTGCATTTTCAGAGAAAAGGTAGTGTTTACATTACTGCCTAGGAACACCTGTAGTGGTAGTCCCTTAGATGGCCACTAGTGGTGCTTCCTGGGTCAGTGCTCCTTTAAATTTAAAATAAATTGTGCAAGCTTTTAATGTGCACAATTTATTCTATCCCCTACCCATTAGAGACATTACGCTGGACCAGTTTGAATGGTTTAATAAATAGGCAGTCTTTACGCCTACCACATTGAGAAACACCTTTAGGTGCTCTTAGCCAAGTTGAAGGTGCTAAAAGATGTCTGGGCGCCTGGCAGTGATTTTAGAAATTAAAGAATAAACAGTCAGAATAGACCATTAATTCTTCATAATTGGTAAAATCTTATTTCATCCTTTGTTATATGTGGCAATGCGATGAAAAAGTTGTTTGTTAATTATTATGTATTTCATAACAATTGACATTCTCGTGTGGCTTTATATATTTCTGGTGGTTTAGACTAGTTGACATATATTTAGGGGATATACGTAATTCTGTCACCACTTTTTTCATGTGTTCTTTATATATTTAGATTTGACAGGACTGCCCTCTAGTGGCATAAAGGAAGAATACGGGTTAGAGACAATTGCAGTAATTTTTAAATACTACATACTGCGGCTAATAGGCCCGCGGTGGCAAAAATATAGAATATCAGCTATAAGAATTAGAAAGATTTGGATACATAGTAGAGGTTTTTTTTTACTACAGTGGGAATTCAACATGAAGTTCAAATTTAAGGCCACAGTAGCTGAAATGGACTTAAATTTGAAATTCACTTTATGGTTTAAATTAAGATAAAAAGTAGCCTAGGCTCAAATAATATGACATGGTTTTAGCAGACTGATACATATGAAAGGTTTTTCTCTTTCCCTTACTTTCTATTGTAGTAGTGTGAACCAGCTGGTAAATATACAGGTGATAGATTAAACTCTAATATATACAGACGGTCAGGGTGTAATTAGGGAACAGCTGAATATCTTGTCTTATAACTCCTTACATACTTAGGATGATAGGACTGCCCTCCCACAGCCGGAATTAAGAATATCTATGACAGCGTATGAGAGGAAATTTGTTATACAATTAGGATATCAACTTTAATTTCTTTTATTCCAATGTATTGAACTGGCAGACTCTGAAACCCATTCCATGAAGCACCCGCCGCCCAGTTTTTGTGCTAAAATATTTATGCCAGTGGAAGTCTAGAACTCTTCAGATATGGAATCAGTAGAGCGTTGGTGATTTTACACACCATGTTCCTCAGCACTGTGATTTTACGTGGTCTTCTGCTCGTGGCTGAGTTGCTGCTGTTCCTAAATGCTTCCACTGTCCAGTAATACCACTTACAGTTGACCGTGGAATATAAAGCAGGGATTAAATTTCACAAACTGACTAATTGCAAAGGTGGTATCGTATCACAGTACCATGCTTAAATTTACTGAGGTGGCATCCTATCACAGTACCACGCTTGAATTCACTGAGGTGGTATCCTGTCACGTTACCATGCTTGAATTTGCTGAGGTGGTATCCTATCATGGTACCATGTTTAAATTTACTGAGGTGGCATCCTATCACAGTACTATGTTAGAATTTACTGAAGTGGTATCCTATCACGGTACCATGCCTGAATTTACTGAGGTGGTATCCTATCACGGTACCATGCTTGAATTTACTGAGGTGGTATTCTATCACGGTACCATGCTTAAATTTATTGAGGTGGCACCCTATCACAGTACCACGCTTGAATTCACTGAGGTGGTATCCTATCACGGTACCACACGTGAATTTACTGAAGTGGTATCCTATCACAATACCATGCTTAAATTTACTGAGGTGGCATTCTACCACATTATCATGCTTGAATTTAGTGAGGTGGTATCCTATATAATGTTTAAATTTACTGAGGTGGCATCCTATCACAGTATCATGCTTGAATTTACTGAGGTGGTATCCTATCACAGTATCATGTTTGCATTTACTGAGGTGGTATCCTATCACGGTACCATACTTGAATTCACTGAGGTAGTATCCTATCACGGTACCATGCTTGAATTTACCGAGGTGGCATCCTATCACAGTACCATGCTTGAATTCACTGAGGTGGTATCCTATCACGGAGCCATATTAAAATTTGCTGAGGTGGTATCCTCTCACGTTACCATGCTTGATTTTACTGTGGTGGTATCCTATCATGGTACCATGTTTAAATTTACTGAGGTGGCATCCTATCACAGTACTATGTTAGAATTTACTGAAGTGGTATCCTATCACGGTACCATGTTTAAATTTACTGAGGTGGCATCCTATCACAGTACTATGTTAGAATTTACTGAGGTGGCATCCTATCACAGTACCATGCTTGGATTTACTGAGGTGGTATCCTATCACGGTACCATGCTTGAATATACTGAGCTGGTATCCTATGACAGTACAATGCTTAAATTTACTGAGGTGGCATCCTATCACAGTATCATGCTTGAATTTACTGAGGTGGCATCCTATCACAGTATAATGCTTGAACTTACTGAGGTGGTATCCTATCACAGTATCATGTTTGCATTTACTGAGGTGGTATCCTATCACAGTACCATGCTTGAATTCACTGAGGTGGTATCCTATCACGGAGCCATGTTAAAATTTACTGAGGTGGTATCCTGTCACAGTACCACGCTTGAATCCACTGAGGTGATATCCTATCACAGTACCATGCTTGAATTCACTGAGGTGGTATCCTATCACGGTACCATGTTTGAATTTACTGAGGTGGCATCCTATCAGAGTACAATGCTTAAATTTACTGAGGTGGTATCGTATCATGGTACCACACGTGAATTTACTGAAGTGGTATCCTATCACAGTACCATGCTTAAATTTACTGAGGTGGCATCCTATCACAGTATCATGCTTGAATTTACTGAGGTGGTATCCTATTACAGTACCATGCTTGAATTTACTGAGGTGGTATCCTATCACAGTATCATGTTTGCATTTACTGAGGTGGTATCCTTTCACGGTACCATACTTGAATTCTCTGAGGTGGCATCCTATCACAGTATAAAGTTTGCATTTACTGAGGTGGTATCCTATCACAGTACCATGCTTGAATTTACTGAGGTGGCATCCTATCACAGTACCATGCATGAATTCACTGAGGTGGCATCCTATCACATTACCATGCTTGAATACACTGAGGTGGTATCCTATCACTGTACCATGCTTGAATTTATTGAGGTGGTATCCTATCACAGTACCATGCTTGAACTTACTGAGGTGGCATGCTATCACAGTATCAAGTTTGCATTTACTGAGGTGGTATCCTATCACAGTACCATGCTTGAATTTACTGAGGTGGCATCCTATCACAGTACCATGCTTGAATTTACTGAGGTGGTATCCTATCACAGTATCAAGTTTGCATTTACTGAGGTGGTATCCTATCACGGTACCATACTTGAATTCACTGAGGTAGTATCATATCACGGTACCATGCTTGAATTTAGTGAGGTGGCATCCTATTACAGTATCATGTTTGCATTTACTGAGGTGGTATCCTATCACAGTATCATGTTTGCATTTACTGAGGTGGTATCCTATCACAGTACCATGCTTGAATTCACTGAGGTGGTATCCTATCACGGAGCCATGTTAAAATTTACTGAGGTGGTATTCTGTCACAGTACCATGCTTGAATCCACTGAGGTGATATCCTATCACAGTACCACGCTTGAATCCACTGAGGTGGTATCCTATCACAGTACCATGCTTGAATTCACTGAGGTGGTATCCTTTCACGGTACCATGCTTGAATTTACTGAGGTGGCATCCTATCACAGTACCACGCTTGAATCCACTGAGGTGGTATCCTATCACAGTACCATGTTTGAATTTACTGAGGTGGCATCCTATCACGGTATCATGCTTAAATTTACTGAGGTGGCATCCTATCACAGTACCACGCTTGAATCCACTGAGGTGGTATCCTATCACAGTACCATGCTTGAATTCACTGAGGTGGTATCCTATCACGGTACCATGCTTGAATTTACTGAGGTGGCATCCTATCAGAGTACAATGCTTAAATTTACTGAGGTGGTATCCTATCATGGTACTACACATGAATTTACTGAAGTGGTATCCTATCACAGTACCATGCTTAAATTTACTGAGGTGGCATCCTATCACAGTATCATGCTTGAATTTACTGAGGTGGTATCCTATTACAGTACCATGCTTGAATTTACTGAGGTGGTATCCTATCACAGTATCAAGTTTGCATTTACTGAGGTGGTATCCTATCACAGTACCATGCTTGAATTTACTGAGGTGGCATCCTATCACAGTACCATGCTTGAATTCACTGAGGTGGCATCCTATCACATTACCATGCTTGAATTCACTGAGGTGGTATCCTATCACTGTACCATGCTTGAATTTATTGAGGTGGTATCTTATCACAGTACCATGCTTGAATTTACTGAGGTGGCATCCTATCACATTACCATGCTTGAATTCACTGAGGTGGTATCCTATCACTGTACCATGCTTGAATTTACTGAGGTGGCATCCTATCACAGTATCAAGTTTGCATTTACTGAGGTGGTATCCTATCACAGTACCATGCTTGAATTTACTGAGGTGGCATCCTATCACAGTACCATGCTTGAATTCACTGAGGTGGCATCCTATCACATTACCATGCTTGAATTCACTGAGGTGGTATCCTATCACAGTACCATGCTTGAATTTACTGAGGTGGCATCCTATCACAGTACCATGCTTGAATTCACTGAGGTGGCATCCTATCACATTACCATGCTTGAATTCACTGAGGTGGTATCCTATCACTGTACCATGCTTGAATTTACTGAGGTGGCATCCTATCACATTACCATGCTTGAATTCACTGAGGTGGTATCCTATCACTGTACCATGCTTGAATTTATTGAGGTGGTATCCTATCACAGTACCATGCTTGAATTTACTTAGGATTTTAGAACAACCCAATTTTGCCACAAATGTTTGTAAATGCAGACTGCATAGCTAGGTGCTTGATTTTATACAACTTTGGCAATGGGAATGATTGAAAAACCTGTAGTCAATAATTAGAAGGTGTGTAAGATCTTGTTGGAATAATCGTCACTGTTAAATCTTCTTAATTTCTTCTTGTCTTCAGTTGATTGATATATATACACGTCTTTTGTATATATAGTCTTGGGCCAAATGCTCGCCACAATAATATATGTCTGTATTATTGAAAAGTACTAATACGCAATCTGACTTACGGTTTCTTCAGGTTTCTTCTTTGTTACGGATACATAATAAAACAACAAATGATGTTACAGGATAATGGACATTCAACAGCAGATGGTAATTGCTGGACTTCTTTAAATCCTTACATCTTTACATCGAGAGAGAGCCAGAGCCAAGACCAAGACCGAGACCGAGCCAAGACAGAGCGACCTTGTGTCCCTCTGTTACTATAAAGATGTGCTAATACTAACATCAGCATTTAACTCTAGCCATATAAGGACAAAACCCCCACATCCACATTCGAGAGCTCTCGGACAAAGAAAGCCTTGTGACTAATACCATCTGTTACTTATGTCAATCCACACATCCATATATATAATCAATAGAAACATAGAATATGCAATATTCTACAAGGTGTATCCCAATACTTTTGTCCAGTGTATAGTGTATGTAGCATGAAGCGTAATAGTCTGACATGCAGCAATGCAAGACAGATATTCTACTATCTACTTAGGAGCTTCTGGCTCTTTGGTTGATATAGCAGAGGCATGTAGCGGTGCCTGGCGGACCTCCGGTAAGAAGTCAAGCTATTCTAAAACATTTGGGGGACGCCATGGCACTCTGGGCAAAATATGACTATAATGCGCTGCAGTGGTTGTGGTGCTTGGATTGTTCCTTTAAAATTGAGACATGACCATTCTGTCAGCTCAACCAACATAATAACTACTATCTAGCACAGCAAACCTGGTATAGTTCTAAAGATTATATCTTCAGCCTCTTGGACTCTTTCTGAAAATGTATTAATTTGTCATTTGAAAATTTATCAATTTGTCATTTGAAAATGTATCAATCTGTTTCAATTTATACAACGTAATCAAGAAATATAAAATACAAAAAGAGAGTACAAATCACACTATGCAATGAATAATGCTTTCCTATGGGGAAATCCTAATGCGAGCGCGCATGCGCATTAAGTCTCCCGCGTCAGAGGATGTCGGCTGTGCAAGAGCGTGGGTGGAACTGAGCCAGTACTTGACAAACCGTTTTCCTGGCACTGCAGGTCCCCTCTCCCTCCCACCCCCCATCGCATGTTGCTGAAGGGGTTAAAACCCCTCCAGTGACTTACCTGTAGCCAGCACTGATGTCCCTCAGTGCTGGTTCAGGGTCCGCCCACGCTCCTTTCCCGCCGGCGGGGGAGACCTATTGCACATGCGTGGCTGCCGGCGGGGGAGACCTAATGCGCATGCTCGGCAATGCCGCGCACACACATTAGACCTCCCCACAGGAAAGCATTGAAAAATGCTTTTAATGCTTTCCTATGGGGATTTCAGCGACACTGGAGGTCCTCACATAGCGTAAGGATGTCCAGCGCACGCTATAGCACACGAAATGTGTGCTATAAACCCGGAAGTGCCCTCTATTGGCTGTCTAGTAGACAGTCACTAGAGGAGTAGTTAACCCTGCAAGGTAAATATTGCAGTTCATGAAAACTGCAATATTTACAGTTGCAGGGTTAAGGGTAGTGGGAGTTGGCACCCAGACCACTCCAATGGGCAGAAGTGTCCTTTAATATATTGCTAGAAAATGAAATTCCACCCTGGGCCAGCCTTTGGGGTGTGCAAACTCTGCAGTTGCACTGTGATTTTACCCACCTTTTCTCCAATGCTGTGCCAGTGTCGTTGAGGCTTGCCCCACCCTGGTCTTGCTGCGGCTGGCCCTGCCCTGAGTCAGATATCAGCAAATGTTAGATGCTGAACATCAGTGCTGAGCATGCAGCACTGACCTAGGAAGCACCTCTAGTGGCCATCTGATTGACTGCTACTAGAGGTGTTACTAGGCAGTGATGTAAACACTGCCTTTTCACCAAAGCTTTCTCTATTAACCCCTTAACGCCGTTACGGCGTTCTATGCCGTCCCCATTTAAATGCTTTAAATGCTTTAAAGCCGTTGCGGCGGCATAGAACGCTGTAACGGCTTTCTGTCCCAGGAGCTTGGCGGTATTTACCTCTGCCGCGATCCTTTACTGGAGGACTGCCTGACAGCCCTGCCCCAGCAAATCAGGCCCCCGGGGGCCATGTGATCGCTCTCAAAGAGCGATCACATGGCCCCCAATAGCTGGCTGTGGATCTGCCAGCAGGGGTACTGTCTCAAATGTCAGACAGTCGCCCTGCTGGTGGGTAGTATTAAAAATAAAAAATAAATGACACATGCTAAAATAAATTACAAGTATATATATATATATATATATATATATATATTTATATAATATATATACATCTTATATATATGTAACGTCATACATAGTGTACACGTATAATTATAATTTTAACTAAATAATAAAATAACATATTTTAAAAAAAAATTTAAGAAATTATATATACATATGTAATTTCATTCTAACTGTATTTTATTATATATAATATATTATATATATATATATTGGTAACAAAATACACTTAGAATGACATTCTATATCTATCTATATATAAAATACAATTAACCGCAAATATATATATACAGATAAATATATATAATTACATAAATAACTACATAAGTGTGCACGTAGACTTTAAATACATATATATGTATATATATTAAAATTCTACGTGTGTATTTAAGTAATATATTAACATAATTATGTGATTTAATTAATTAAAATTTAATTGACATGCCTGACAACCCACGCAGAAAGTGCAGAGAATTTGAATTGCAAGCACTATATTTAACCCTGTAACTTTCCAAGACACCATAAAACCTGTACATGGGGGGTACTGTTTTACTCTGGAGACTTCGCTGAACACAAATATTAGTGTTTCAAAATGGTAACTTGTATTACAACAATGATATTTTTAGTAAAAGTGAAGTTTTTTGCATTTTTCACACGAACGGCACTTTTACTGATGGTATTATTGTTGTAACATGTTTTACTGTTTTAAAACACCTTTTTTGTGTTCAATGAATTCTCCCAAGTATAACAGTACCCATGTACAGTTTTTATGGTGTTTTGGAAAGTTAGAGAGTCAAATATAAGGCTTGCATTTTATTTTTTTCAAATTCAAATTTGCCAGATTGGTTATGTTGCCTTTTGAGACCATATGGTCAGGGCCGTCTTTAACGCGGGGCAAACGGGGCAGCTGCCCCGGGCCCAGTTACTCTTGGGAGGCCCAAGGCAGCTTCCCCGTGGGCCCCGCTGCCCTCAACAATTGTTTCTCCCATGGGGCCGCCGGCCCCCACATTAAGCAGGCCACCGGGTGGGTATTGTAAGCAGGGGCCCGGTCACACACTGTAGTACTTTAACAGCGCGACCGGGCCCTTTGCTTTTCGGCAGCGCTGGGAGGAAGAAGTGACGGCTGCGAGTCACTTCCTCCCACTAAGGAGAGGAGCCGCGCGGGAGACGAAGGAGGGACCCTTGCCAGGATAGGCAGATCCCAACAACCTTCAGTCTGGACACCTGGGGAACCACCTTCCAAGGTAGGAAACTTGTGGGTGGGTTTAAAAGTGTAAATTTATGTCAGTATGTCTGTCAGTGTATGTTTATGTCAGTATGTCTGTCAGTGTATGTGTTTGTGTCAGTATGTCTGTCAGTGTATGTTTATGTCAGTATGTCTGTCAGTGTATGTGTTTATGTCAGTATGTCTGTCATTGTATGTTTATGTCAGTATGTCTGTCTGTGTTTGTGTCAGTATGTCTTTCAGTGTATGTTTGTCAGTATGTTTGTCAGTGTATGTTTGTGTCAGTATGTCTGTCAGTGTATGTGTTTGTGTCAGTATGTCTGTCATTGTATGTTTATGTCAGTATGTCTGTCTGTGTTTGTGTCAGTATGTCTTTTAGTGTATGTTTGTCAGTATGTCTGTCATGTCAGTATGTCTGTCTGTGTCTGTGTTTGTGTCAGTATGTCTGTCATTGTATGTTTATGTCAGTATGTCTGTCTGTGTTTGTGTCAGTATGTCTTTCAGTGTATGTTTGTCAGTATGTCTGTCAGTGTATGTTTATGTCAGTATGTCTGTCAGTGTATGTGTTTGTGTCAGTATGTATGTCAGTGTATGTTTATGTCAGTATGTCTGTCTGTGTTTGTGTCAGTATGTCTTTCAGTGTATGTTTGTCAGTATGTCTGTCAGTGTATGTTTATGTCAGTATGTCTGTTAGTGTATGTGCCTGTGCTTGTGTCAGTATGTCTGTCGGTGTATGTGACAGTATGTCTGTCTGTGTATGTCAGTATGTCTGTTATTGTATGTGTCTGTGTATGTCAGTATGTCTGTTATTGTATGTGTCTGTATGTGTGTCAGTATGTCTGTCATTGTATGTCTTTGTGTATGTGTGTCAGTATATGTGTCTGCATATGTCAGTATGTCTGTAGTGTATGTTTCTGTGTGTGTGTCAGTATGTCTGTCAATATGTGTCTGTCAGTGTGTGTGTCAGCGTGTGTGTCAGTATGTCTGTCAGTGTATGTCTCTGTGTATGTGTGTTAGTATGTCTGGCAGGGAGCAGAGTCCAGGGGCCCCAAGCAAAAGGTTGCCCAGTGTCCGGTCAATATTAAAGACGGCCCTGCATATGGTAGCCCAGGAATAAGAATTACCCCCATGATGGCATACCATTTGCAAAAGTAGACAACCCAAGGTATTGCAAATGGGGTTTGTCCAGTAATTTTATGTAGCCACCTAGTCACAAACACTGGCCAAATATTTGTTTTTTGCTTTTTCACACAAAAACAAATATGAATGCTAACTTTGGCCAGTGTTTGTGACTAAATGGCTACTACAAAAGACTGGACATACCCCACTTTCAATACCTTGGGTAGTCTACTTCTGCAAATGGTATGCCATCATGGGGTTAAATCTCATTCCTGGGCTACCACATGGTCTCAAAGGTAACATTACTAATCTGGCAAATTTCAATTTGAAGAAACAGAAAAATGTAATGTGCTATATTTGACCCTTTAAAGGGACACCGTAGGCACCCAGATCACTTCTGCCCCCTGGAGTGGTCTGGGTGCCAACTCCCACTACTCTTAACCCTGCAAGTGTAATTATTGCAGTTTTTTATAAACTGCAATAATTACCTTGCAGGATTAAATCCACCTCCAGTGGCTGTCTACTAGACAGCTACTACAGGGCACATCCTGGATTATAGCACAGAAAACCTGTGCTAGAGCGTCGCTGGACGTCCTCACGCTGTGTGAGGACCTCCAGCGTCACTCAATTCCCCATAGGAAAGCATTGAAAGCATTTTCAATGCTTTCCTATGGAGAGCTGTAATGCGCATGCGCGGCCGGTTTCCTCAGCCGGCGGGCAGGATCAGTCACGCCCACCGGCTGATGTAATCGCTGGGAGTATCGGCGGCAAGCAGAAACCACTGCCGACGGACTTCGTCAGGGTCTCAGGTGAGTTTTCACCCCTTCAGCTACCGGGGATGGGGGGTGGGAGGGAGAGGGGAGTTTCCCTTTAACGTTCCAAAACACAGTAAAAACTGTTAATGGGGGCTACTGTTCTACTCGTGAGACTTTGCAGAATCCAAATATGTGCTTGTTTTGCAGTAAAAGCTAACAGTATTACGTGAGGCGGAACTACAATTTGTTTTTAAAATCTTAATTTCTCTGTTTTTTTATTTTATTCATAAGTTATGTTTCATATATGAATAGTTCATGAGAAATTAAAGCCCTGTTTCTCCTGAGCAAAATTATATATAATAAGTGTGGGTGCACTTAATGTGACAGCGGTGAATTACGGTTGAACAGACACATAGCGCAAGTTCCAGTTTTTGTTTACATTTTGTTTTGATCAGAATGTGTACTATTGACTCCGGCCTGAAGGGGTTAAGCTGTAGTTGTTTTGATTATTATAGTCCCTTTAAGTACCCTGGCAGGCAGAGCAGTAAGAGCGTGAGAGTCTTCCTGACACCAAGCATTTTCTCTCTGATGCTAGGTGCTGTGTGTGCACCATTAGTGACGCTTCTTGTTATAGCCCCACCCCCTCCACAGAGCACCTGACTGAAGAGTCTTGACAGAGCATGCAGGGTCTCAGGAGGATTCTTACTCCTATCGTGCTCGGCCAGGCATCAAAAGCTGGGGAGATGGAGGCACAGGTGAGAACATACATAATGAGGGGCATGTACACAACATGGAAATAAGAGTGGCCATGGACTCAGATGGGGACATCTTCACATGGGATGGACGTAAGAGTCATGGAGGAACATGGACACATTGCAGGAACATGAGGACATTTGCACTGGAGGTAATGGAGATATAAACACCAGAGTTATAAGGATAAAGGCAAAAGAGGTGCATGGAAACAATGGGATACATGGACATGTTTACATAATGGGGGATGAAGCATATGGGGGGTTGGCAGAGGAGAAAAGAGGGAATATGAGGATATGGACACATAGTGGGAAGGGAGTATATAAGGAGAGGGATGCAATTGGGGTAGGGAGGATATGTGCAGGGGACACAAGTGGGGGATACAGGAAGTGGAACATCAGTGGGGGAAGGGGGCATGGAGAATGAGCTAGGGCAGCAGTTTGAGGGAGATAACTTGGGAAGTGACATATGAATTGGAGGCAGAGGGAAGTTTCCTTCTATAAGTTTTTAATGAATGTGAGAGACATTATTACTTCTCGGGGGTGGCCGTATTTATGAGGCATAGTTTGTCATGTTTGCCTAAAGTTTCACAAAATCTAGTGCCGCCACTGCTCTTGAGCTCTGGTCAATGAGAGTGTTGACCCACTATACACACAGTGGACCCTCTAAATATTCACACAGTACACACACAATACAACCTCTCCACTTCTACACACCATACCCCCATGCACACACTACAGCCCGTATACACACACTATACTCCCTAAACACTACAGCCCCCATAAAAATACAACAGTGCCGCCATCAGGGGGTGACAACCATGACGCCCGTGCCCCAAATGTAGCAGCGGAACTGCTGCCGGTGCAGTTCCACTGAGGCACGCACGCTGATGGGGCCTATAGGGTGGCCCACACACTTAGGACCACTCAATGGGTCCTATATCTTCAGGGGCCCGGTCAGCGCTGTGGGCGTGGTATAGCGCGACCGGACCCCTTTTAAAAAAACAAAAAACGTAGCCACAGCAAGTGCTGCTGGGAGGAAGTGGTCACTTCCTCCCAGCTCACTCCGCGCGGGAGGACCGCAAGCCAGGCAGTGAGGGAGAGCCGTGCCGACTACTCCCATCAGCCCCAGCCACCCTCCTGCAAAGAAAAGGTAAGAGACAGGAAGGTGGCTGGAAAATGAGCTCTCTGTGTGTGTGTATGTCTGTATGTCATTATGAATGTATGTCTATATGTATGTTATTATGTATGTCATTATGAATGTCTGTATGCATGTATGTATGTATGTATGTCATTATGTATGTATGTTTTGGGTTTTCACCTTTTTCTATACTAAAGAAGGAGGAATTTGGGGGAGGGTCTAATCGATTTAAATTTCACATGTATGCCTTCCTTTCCCGATCCATAATAAAGGATATCCCAGTCGTAGAGCACTGCACTGTAATGTTTGGCAGATTTGACCCTTTTTCGGCCGAAATGGGATAGGCCCATTTTCGGCCAGAAATGTCGGTGAATCCCTAGTTGCTATAGCAATACTGCAGCTTTATAGAACCTGGCTAACCAACTTCCATTTCTCTGAAAGCTTTTGAGTAAAAAGAAGAGTATTGTGAACTGGAAAACTTTTTCACCTATTTTAATGTTGAATTTCTCTTTATTGAAATAATTTTATATTCATATATACATTTGATTAATTTTGGTTGACATTAGTATCAAAAGTTAAATTACAGATAACATACTTCACGTACATAACAAACAGTCATCGGTTATTGGTTGGTATCTTTACAAGTAAAAAAAAAAGAAAAATTAAATACGTGTTATTTGCTCAGATCGAGGAAATTATTATTGGACTAAGTCTTTGATCCTTTTGATCCATTTATCATAATGATGTATACATTTACAATTATTGTTTGAATATGCGACTCCTCTCTCCATCTCAAGCTGAAATATAAGTTGGGCTTTAAACTTCCATAATTTGAGTTATTGTTTTTTTCCAAGTTCTTACAATTAATACTTTTGTCGCCATAAAGGCATGGATAATCAGTATTAGATGGTCTCGTCGAAGTTTGCCCTAATTAAGATGGAGTAGACCAACTACTGGGGATTTTTTAACCTTTATATTTAAAAGCAATAAAAAAGAGTCCCAAAAGGTACTTATTTTTGGGCAGCTCCACCAAATATGTAACATATTTCCTTCTTGTGTAAGACATCTCCAACATAGAGGAGAATTGGACATGGTTATCTTAGCCATCCTTGTTGGGACTAGATACCACCTATGGAGTACTTTAAAAAAAAAGTTTCAATTAGATTTAAACAGTGTGTGTGCTTTTTAAGTAGTCTTGTCACGGCAAGGGTGTATAATTTATTATTACACTATGGAATATCATCTTTTAATGTAATTTGTGTAGTAAATGGCACAAATTACAGAGATGCTATTGCTGAGGTCAACAGGGGTTACATCTTTTGAAGCTGGGACCCCCACAGAGGTCAGATGACAGAAGGGGTAGTGTGAATGGCATAGCAATGTGAAAAGGATTTTACCATATGGATGTGAAGTAATTAAGGCTCTGCAAGGTGTGAGGTTCTACACTTGGAAAAGTCTGAATGTCTCTTCATCCATTTGGCATGTACCTTGTAAAGGATAGTTCAATCATTTGAAATGGTAATGGGATTCGTTTCATGAAGATCCTTGTGTTCCAGTATCTTATCCAAGTGAAACATTCATACTTACCCACAGGTTAATAATTAAGCCTCATTTTTATTATATTTGGAATGGGACAAGCCCAATCTTTTAATTAAGCCCAAACATGAGTTGCACAACTTAAACCGTGTGGCAGGACTTGTGATGTCCATCCTATTGGATCGTGGGCGGGGCGTGCAACATGTCTTTGGAATGGGAAAACCATAACAAATTCATAGAGGCAATTATTATTTCTGTGGCAAGTACAGTAGAGGAGATAAAACCAAAAGTTTGTATGTGGCTTGATGGTTTCTGGAACAAAGGAGGTGGTCACTTAGTATCTCTATTGCTCCACCTCTGGAGGAGGCGTGGCAATTCACAGGGTATATCTCCTGTGATTCTGAAGGGTGTTTGTGTACTTGCTTGGGGCCAAGATCTAGTTTTGAGTGAGTCACCATCTTTCCTTGCCAGAGACCCCCTGGACAGAAGTTGTACTTTGAAAACCTAAGTGAGTAATTAGGACTTCTGTATTTTATCCTTTTTGTTTTTATCTGTTGTTGGTGTAAATAATTTGTTTATCATATATTGTTATATGCACTGTGACTATCTTTTGCTCATAATAAACATTCATTTATTATGTTTTGCCTTTGTCTGGTTAAGAATCACATTACCTGAAGAGACTAGTTAGTATTTTTGCAATAACTTAAATATTGTACTAAGTAATATTAGGTGGGTTTTATTATTGATTTACCTGGGGGACCAAGGCACCCCATTTATAAATTGTCTTGGTGGTGGCAGCGTTAAAATAGTAATAGTTATATTATTATGTTTAAGTGTGGGTGGTGTTAAAGGGGGATTTTGTCATTATTTCCGGTCTAGTGCAGACAAATAGTGAACTTTAACCCTTTCACAACCACTACCACGTCACGCGCACTCTTGGAGTAGTGTGCGTTCGTGACAAGTCTCATAGGGGAACACCATGTTTTCTCTGAGAATTTGACATTCAGATCCTTTTCCCATTGCTTTTTGGCTGAGGGATGAATATTTAAATAAACCTGTCTTATTAGGTCCATAGCAATGGAGCATATTGATTTAGTTTTGTTTTTGTCAAAGATTTTATATACCAAAATATTCTTGTCCCCTTCCTTTCTTAATAAAGACTCCTTTAGGAATCCTCTTAAATAAGAGAAGACTTCTCTATCTGAAATAGCAATTTTTGATTTGAGATTATCAAATGGCATTAACCTGGTATTTTGAAGGAGATCCTTGATGAAAATTTCATTATGAGCTCTCTAGGTACTAAGGTTTAGATCGAGTATGACTCTTTCCAAGAGCCGAATATTAGCTCCTTCAACGATTTTTTGGGATATATTAAGAAATTTTTTAATTCGTTGCCATTCTTCAATGATATGGAGTACAGTACTTGAATTCATTTGCATTAAATGGGTCTTGTAATTAGTTTTATCATCCCAAATCAGAAGTGCTAAGTCTTTCTCTTTTATTCTAATTGATTCAATCTGGTACCAGGGTTGGTTTCTCGAATTTGGAATCTGGAATTTATGGACAAGGGAAATGATATTAGCACTATATACATCTTTAATCAGTGGAAGAGCCATTCCTTCTTGATTAGTTTTTTTTTGTTGAAATTTGGGATTTTATTCTTGGTGTTTTCCCATTCCAGATAAAATTGGAAAGTGAGTGTTGGAGCATGTCCATCCAAGGTCTGGAAAATTTTAATGGGATTATGTTAAAAAGATAAGCCCATTTGGGAATAACATATGTTTTTACTGTATTCACTCTTCCCCACCAAGAAATTTCTAGAGAACGCCATTTCTTTTAAGTTTTATTTGTAAATTTTAACATGTTCAAAAAGTTAGTCTCTACTATATTTCCAGGATTTGCTGTAATAGTAATTCCCAGATATTGGAACTCTCTTTTCGTCCATTGGAAATTATACTTCTCTTGAAGAAACTCAACGTATAAGAATTTAAATTAATTTTTAGAGCAATAGTTTTGTGGAGATGTATCTTATAATTTGATACTTCCCCGTAGGTTTGAATTTCTTGCATTAGATGGTGAAGTGAAGTAGAAGGGTCTGAGATAGAAATCAAGACATCATCAGCATAAAGACAAATCTTTGCTTCCAATTCCTCTATTACCATTCCTCTTATTTTTGAGTTTTGTCTAATGGCTATGGCAAATGGTTCGATGGAAAGAACGTACAGTAGGGTAGATAGAGGACACCCCTGCCTCGTTCCATTGTTAATGTCAAACTATTCTGTACATATATCATATCCCACAATTCTGGCTGATGGGCACGTATAGAGAGCTTCTATTGCTGCTGCAATCCATCCTACTAACCCAAATGCTGTCAAGACTTTATTCATATATCCCCATCCGACCCTGTCGAAGTCCTTTTCGGCATCTATCGACAGGGTCAGAAGGGGCGTCCCTGTTAATTGTGCGTATTCAAATAAATCAATTATCTTACGGGAATTATTGCTAGAATGGCGACCTTTAACAAATCCAATTTGATCTATGTGTATCAGTTCGGGAAGTAGTGAATTAAGTCTTCGAGCTAAAACTGAGGCGGATAATTTAATATCTATATTTAATAAGGAAATTGGTCTATAATTGGTGATTTCTGTTTAGCTTTTGTTAGGTTTCAAAATAGGCTTTATGTTAGCCCTTAATAGTTCTCGTTCTATTTTGCCTGAAGAGGCAATTTCGTTGAATGTAGCCGTTATATTAGGAACTATAATATTTTTAAATGTTTTAAAAAAAACATGTTGGTGAAACCGTCTGGGCCAGGAGTTTTTGAGGTTTGTAAATTATTTATACTTTCTTCTACTTCTAATTGAGATTTTTTTATTTAATTTCTCTTTCTGAGTAGAGGTAATTTTTATTTTCTGTAAATATTTGTCGATGGACTGATCTGTAGCCGTATGATCTAAATTATATAAACTCTCATAATACGTTCTAAAGGAGTTTCCTACATCTTCTGGAGTCAATAGGACATTTCCATCTTTAATAATTTGATAGCTCTTATTCGCTATTCTATTTTTTTTAAGTCGTCTAGTTAATATTTTATCTACTTTGTTATTCTGATAGTATTATTTGGTTTTTAATCACTTAAAATTGGATTCAATTCTTCCAAGGATCTTCTGTTTAATCATATCTTTATATTTTTTAATGAAAACTGATATATCTTGGGAGAATTTCTCGTTATTCTGAGCTTGTAACTTGTATAATTGTAGGTAAAGTTCTGTCATAGGAGCCCCCCTTTGTTTTTTTTCGTGGCTTGCTAATTTTATTAAGTAACCTCTGGTGACGGCTATGTATGTACACCATAAATTTTGATTAGATGTATGGTCTGGAAGGTTTTCATCAAAAAATAATTCAGATAGATTTTTTTTATATGGTCTTTGTTTTTTTTAGTTGGATTGTACTTTAACTAACTCGGGGTCGCCCCAACACATGTCTATTCTTGCTGCAGTTTTATGAGCTGAGGAGACGTGAGTATAAATGCGATCCGTAGGATGGAATATTCTCCATAGATCATAGATGTCATTCATCTTAGCTAATTTACATTTTAAGGATGCCTGACTGGCGAGATTTTTATCTGCACATTGGCCTGATTTCATTTGCTTATCTAATTTTGGGTCAGATATGCAATTAAAATCTCCCGCTATCAATAATATTCCTTTGCGGATTGTTTCTATCCTGCTCATTATTTTTGAAAAATATTTAACTGGAGCTTTATTGGGAAGGTATATATTAAGTAAAGTGTATTGAATTTCATTAAACTTCCCAATCCAAATAATATATCTCCCTTCCATATCAGTTTCGATATAATCGCAGGAGTGATTAATTGAATTAGAGAACATTATTACTACTCCTTTCTTCTTTTTTGTTTGATCCGAAGCTTCCGCTATAAGAGGGAACTTTTTAAAGTTCCAATACTGCTTGTTTTGTTTCTTCCAATGGGTTTCCTGAACAAAAGATATCTGGGCTTTTTCCTTGAGTAGAGTATTATATAAACATGCTATTTTGTTTGGGGAATTAAGTCTTTGGACATTAATAGATTGTAATTTTAAAATTTTTGATCATTAATTTTTTCCTCTTTTCTTTTCCTTTTATTTTGTAGTATTACAATGTTTATTACTATTACAATGTTTATACCTAACCAATTCACTTTACAACAACATTTATAAAACACAGAATATCTTAAGATGTTAAAAAACATCTTGCAAAAAAAAAGTTACAAAAAATGCAACGTTTACAAGTTGGGGTACAACATGACTCCAACATCAAAGTATCGCTTCGATACCCACAGGGAGGGAGACTAACTGGAGATATAAAAAAAAAGAATTTCTGGGTGAACAGACTTTCGCTTCAATTTTCTTGATCCCATATTAACTCCTGTCCCCTGCTCCTCCTATCCTTGGTCTGAGTATAATGGTCTTTTTGTTTTAGTAATATTATCCTTGGGAAACCAAAATTGTGAATAAATTTTTGTGTATTAAGCATCCCTGTAAAGTGCTATTCAGAATTAATTAGTTGATAAAACCCCTGTGATTTTATGAGCTAACACGCAGATATGATACCCTATTTGTGATAACTTCAAAAAAATAATAAAAGTGCGTATTTCATTAAGATTTACCCCTTTTATGGTTAACCCCTTTTTTTTCCCATTCACTTTTTTCTCCTTTTTCTGTCATTTTCTATTTTAATTTATCCCAACCTTTCATTACTTTAAATTGGTTATTGGTTATAATCCTGGTCATGGTTGTACATTTATCATATTCAAAAAAGTGATATCTTAAAGTGTTGTGAAATATATTTAAATTATCGTGGTTGAATATTACAATAACTGTTAATTAGTGGTTAATGTCCTAATATATAGGACCACTTCTATAAGTCTATATAAAGTGAAAACTCAACCATGTTATGAAAAATGTGTTAATAGTCATTTTCTTTGCTTTCTTGTTTCCTATTTTGCTGTTTGTAGATCTCTTATATGTAGATTAGCCCAATAAGTGTGAAAGGTTTCGTGTCTTCTTTCTCAGTCCTTTTTAAATTTCTCTTTATAGTCCTCATTTTCCTTCTATTTACTTTGTCCATCGTAAAAATATCCTCTTTATGGACTTTAAGTGATCTTGCGGGATAGAGAGAACAGGAGAGAAGAGGGGGAGAAAAAAAAAGTGAACGTTCAGAAATTAATGACCCGTTTTTTAGTTGAGTTTAGATTGCATCAATCATTCATTAGCCATTTCAAAGGTTGTAAATGTAGACCATTTGTTTCAGTGAAAGATCTAGAGCGAGGCTGGATGTTGCCATCTGAATATAAAGTTATGTTTAATTAAAATTTGAAATATTGGTGAAAATTCTCTCCTTTTAGCTCTAGTAAAATATGAAATATCTGGGAGAGCGAATATTTCTTTGAATTTCTCTTCAGTCGGTCTATTCTTCTTTAATGCTGACAAAATTAGATTTTTAGTTTCAAATTAATGAAAGGCGACTAATACGTCTCTTGGGAAGTTATTTTTGAGGTTGGTAGGTTTAAAAATTCTATGGCAACGGTCCATTTTTAATTCATGAGAGTACAATGACAAATTAAGTGAAATAAAAAGCTCTTTCAGAAAATCTCTCAATTTTTCATTTGTTATATTTTCAGGAATGTTTCTGAACTTTAAGTTTGTTCTGCGAGCCTGATCTTCCAAATCGGCTATCTTGGGTTCTAGTACTTTCTGTTGTATTTTTTTGTGTGTGTCTCTAAGAGTTTGAATTTGGAATTCTGTGTGTTCCCCTTTTTCCTCAATTGATTGAATTCGAGTTAATACCTTGGAAATGTCATTTTTGAGATCATTTGAGTTGTTCTGGATCTCTTTTTTTATTTCTTTTAGAGTGTTGTCTAAGAGATTTTGTATTACTTCTGTAGTAATACTGGTTGGTTCTGCAAGGAGGGTTGCTATTGCGGAAGAGGAATCCAGGAACTGATCATCAATAGGGTCTTGTGTTTTTTTGTGGGGAAAAGAGTCCTTTTTCTGGCTTTGCAAGTTTCTTTTCTGTTTTTGGTGCGACTTTAGAATTCTGGGATCGTTTAGATGCCATTTAAAATAAAAAAATTAAAAACCTAGTTCTTTAAACGCTTTTCTTTGATCAATTTGAGTGCTTTTATTTATTTCACTTGTCTTTACAGTTCAGATTTCGTCTTTTGTTGTCTGATATTTCCTTTTAACACTTGCTCTTGTAATTCTATAAGTGAACTATCAAATTTACATGAGGAGTTCATGTGTTAGGTGATATCAGGATATTAGGAGTATATACACAAAAAATAGAAATAATATTCTTTCTCTTTTCCCCTTTGTGCATATATGTTTTATTTCCCTCCTTCCTTCTTCTCTTTCTCCTTCCCTCCTTCCACTGTTACTTTAACTTCTCTCTCCTGTTTGTTTTCTGTTCTTTCTCTTACTCCTTTATTATTTCATATATTATTTTTAATATATAAATATGTATTGAATATATAAATTGGGTACCTTTTTAAGGCGACTTCTTTTTTCTTTTAACTTGTTTTCAGACAGTCTTATGAGGAAGGCCGCACCACGGAGAAGCAGCTCAAAGAACCCTTGCCTGGTCTCCTGCCCTCGGGACGGCAGATGGCTGCACCGGGAGAGACAGGTACCCTTGGTATGTTTTAGCGGGCTTCTCAGGCGTTTATTGTAGGGCTTGATAATTGAGCAGGCACCATTAAAGAACCACTATAGTGCCAGGAAAACATACTCATTTTCCTGGCACTATAGTGCCCTGAGGGTGCCCCCACCCTCAGGGTCCCCCTCCCGCCCGGCTCTGGAAGGGGAAAAGGGGTTAAAACTTACCTTTTTCCAGCGCTGGGCGGGGAGCTCTCCTCCTCCGATCCTCCTCTTCTCCTCCTCCTGGGCTGAATGCGCACACGCGGCAAGAGCTGCGTGCACATTCAGCCCGTCGCATAGGAAAGCATTTACAATGCTTTCCTATGGACGCTGGCGTGCTCTCACTGTGAAAATCACAGTGAGAAGCACGCAAGCGCCTCTAGTGGCTGTCAATGAGACAGCCACTAGAGGATTAGGGGAAGGCTTAACCCATTCATAAACATAGCAGTTTCTCTGAAACTGCTATGTTTATAAAAAAAATGGGTTAACCCTAGAAGGACCTGGCACCCAGACCACTTCATTAAGCTGAAGTGGTCTGGGTGCCTAGAGTGGTCCTTTAAGTGAAGGAAGTTGAGGGAACTCTAGTATCGAGCAAGAAAGAAACTTTCTGCTTTAGATTCGGCTTTGGTGTGGTCTCACGTTCCAGCTACACAGCAAGTGTTAGGCGGTTACTTCTCCATGCGGGAGTTGCTCTCTCCCCCTTACGGCACGCTCACCTTCCATCTCACGTCATCGCCGCTGTACTTTTTCACCTATTTTATTGTTGGTGGTGGTGTAATTTCACCACCTGAAGAAAGAACATGGTAAGGACCAGAACAACAAAGAAGATGATGATGGAGAACGCATAACAAGATGCCAGGCAGAGGAACAGCACAAAGTGGTGTTCTTGACAAGAGAACCACGACTACAATTCAATTAATCGGTGAAAGAAACTCTTTTAACAACAAGAGGAAGCTGGAAGAATCAAAGGGAAAGAAGAAGAAGGAAAACAACAATGAACAGGAGGACAGAGGACAGTTAATAACAAGAGGAAGCGGGAAGAATCAAAGGGAGAGAAAGGAGTAGTGAGAGGACAGAGAAGCCTGGATGCTGAACCTGGAACTGTATCAAAGGAGTCAACTTCACGACCTGGACCATCATCACAGGAGTCAATTTCTTTGAAAAAAAGCTGCTGTTTCACAGACCACTTGGAGAGTGAAGCTTTGGAAAAGTATGTAAAAACCCTTGCATGGCTATATTAATAATTTGTATGACATCAGAAAGGACTCCTCCCCCCCCCCCCACCACCCTGACAACTGGAAGGGGAGAGGGGACACGACTGCTGCCACAGGGGTAAGCATGGTAACTAAAAAGTTTACTATGTAGAAAACCTTACCTGGACCAAGGGATTCTGGGAAGCTTAACTGACAGACTATACCTTAAAACTGTTGAGGGAGCCTGACAGTTTCTGTCCTGTTTTCCCCATTACTACAAAAAGGCATATAAACACATACAAATAAGTTTAAAACCAAACAAACTGTTAGTTATATAGCTATACCATTAACCATATTGGATAATGGCCACAAGTGATTCTAGGGAGGCCTTACTGGCATTGATGGAGGCCTTCAAGTGGACTCACAGGCAGGATGCTTTGGCTTCCCTGATGCAGGGCATCCAGTCTGGTTCGTAGCACGGTTCGGTGGACAGGAGGGCTGAATATGAAGTATCCAGACGGAGGGCCAGAAGATCCAGGCCTCCAGCACGGCTTTCGCTGAGTCCGGTGCGGAGATCCAATGGAGGGACAAGGCAAGATAGTCCAGGGCTAAGTGATGCTGGTCCTGGGACATCGCATACACCGGACAGGACCACACCTGGATGAAGGAGTAACATGCGTGAATCTTCATCCCGAAGGGTGAACCACGATGGTGGTCTGGTGTTGCAAGGTGACCAGGGCTCGGTCAGATCTTGCAGCTCTCCTTCTTTTCCGGCAAGGCAGGAAGTGAAGAAGCCACATCGGTGCAGACGGGCTTTGAGCCATTGCTCTACCTCCATGTCATCAGCACAGGGCACATATACGTGATGTCTGTGTGCTCAAATGCTCCAGCGTCACAGGCCCTGACCCCCAGAAGTTCGCATCTCATCTCCAGAAATCGTACCGAATGCTGGACTTTAACGGTTGCATTCGGTGCAAAATTCTTATATTCAAATAAGAGAGAGGAAGGAGGTGAAATCGGCAATCCTCTTGGGGGATCCTCCATAGACATAAATGCTGTACTCTCACACATGAGCGAGAGTACAGCAGTGACATTGCCTCCTGGCTCTGAAGAGCCAGGAGCAGTAAAGGACTGCCTGGGAGAGGACGGCGGCTTCCTAGTGGGCAAGGATCAGGTAAATTATACTCACTTTTCCTTGCCACTCAAAAACAGCAGTGCTGCAAGTGTAAGGTCATATAATGTGATTTAAACCATCACTATTTGGGGAAGGTAATTTATGATATATTTTTTTTTACTTCTTTGTGTCTCAGACAGGTCGTGATACCAACTCATGTACTAACCAAGAAGTTGCTAGCTCTGAAGATCACTCAGAAGAGACCCTACTTGATGGTGACCGTAAGCGAACCCTCAGAGAGTGCAGAGTCTTGGAAATGGCTGCTGGAAATATCTTCCTGAACCACATGTATGCTACCTTTCAAGCTAAGGTAACATATATAAATCAAACAATAATCTTTTGAATGAATAAGAAGCTGCTAGTAGGGTTTAGCACTGTTGTTTGATCTGGATGTCTCTGCAGAAGAATGTGAGGTTTTTCTGCAAGATTTGGACATTTAGATGTATTTTTCATGCATATAGTTAAAGCAGGTCATTTTGATAAAGGACAGAGTGACTGAGACTGTTAGGGACCATAGATGTGCAGTCACGAGTTGGGTGAGGATCAGAATCACTCTCTAACATGCGTGACATGGATATGATTGTGGATTTTCAAACAAAATGATAAACTGATTTTGGGCACCCCTTATTTCATCTTGTGCTGTAAGCCCATAACTGTGAGGCATGTTGGTATCAATGTGTGTGGTTACAAGCAAATCACATGACAGATATACCCCTAACATTACCCATATTACACCCTTGTAATTACACGGTATGATAATATACTCCCACATTCACACACGCTGTCAATCTACATATACATTCTCTTCCAAATTTACATCTGCATTCACACACAGCCACTTCCACACAGAAATGCCTTAGAGCAGTGATGGCGAACCTATGGCACGCGTGCCACAGGTGGCACGCCGGGCCCTTTCTGTGGGCACGCGGCCACAGGTTCGCCATCAATGCAGAGAAGGCGCCTGCCCGACCGAAACGGCAGGCGCCTACTCTGCTTCCGGGTCGGGAGGCAGGGGGAGTGCTTTGTGATGCAGCTCCCCTGTCCTCCCGCGCGATGCTGTGTGGAGCGTTGCCGCGCGTTACCATGGCAACGCTCCACACAGCATGGGAGGACAGGGGAGCTGCTTCCTGGAGCCCTCCCCCTGCAGTGCTTACCACCACCGGACCACCAGGGATCGCTGTGTCCCCCCCTCCCCCCACTTCATTAAAGGTAAGAAGGAGGGAGGGGGGTATACTGACACAGCACCCATACCCCCCCAGCAGTAACCCCTACCCTCCCCAGCAGTAACCCCTACCCTCCCCAGCAGTACCCCTAACCTCCCAACAGTACCCCTAACCCCCCCAGCAGTAACCCCTAACCCCCCCAGCGGTAGCCCTACCCCCAGCAGTGGCCCACCCTCCCAGCGGTAGCCTACCCTCCCAGCAATTTTACCCCCTATCCCCAGCCTTGGTACCCCTAACCTCCCAACGGGTACCCCTAACCCCCAGCAGTAACCCCTACCCCCCAGCGGTAACCCCTACCCCCTAGCAGTAACCCATGCACCCTCCCCCAGCAGTAACCCCTAACCCCCCATACACGAAGGTACCCCTACCCCCAGCAGTGACACCCTCCCCAGCAGTGCCCCCCCTAACTCCCCAACCCAGTACCCTACCCCCTTACACAGTACACAGCTACCTCCCAGTAGTAACCCCTACCTCTCCCCAGCAGTAACCCCCTACCCTCCCAGCAGTAACCCAACCCTCCCCAGCAGTACCCCCAACCCTCCCCAGCAGTTGCCCCAACCCTCCCAGCCGTACCCCTACCCCTCTCACACAGTACCCCTACCCTCCCAGCAGTACCCCTACCCCCCACACACAGTACCCCTACCCCACACACACAGTACCCCTACCCCCCGCAGCACCCTTACACATATAGCACACACACAGCACCCCCCCCACACACACACACACACAGCACCCCTCACATACAACACTCACACACACACGCACCCCCCACCTCAATGCAGTATGTGTGTATTCAGCAGTCTGTGTGTGGCCAATGGCGTGTCAGCAATCTGTGTGTGTAGCTAAATATTCAGCCGGACTGTGTGTGTGTATTTAGCAGTCTGTGTGTGTACTCAGCAGTGTTTGTGTACTCAACAGTCTGTGTGTGTGTATTTAGGAGTCTGTGTACTCAGCAGTCTGTGTGTGTGTGTATTTAGCAGTCTATGTGTGTGTGTGTACTCGGCAGTCTGTGTGTGTGTGTGTACTCAGCAGTCTGTGTGTGTGTGTACTCAGCAGTGTGTGTGTACTCAGCAGTCTGTGTGTGTGTACTCAGCAGTCTGTGTGTGTGTACTCAGCAGTCTGTGTGTGTGTGTACAGCAGTCTGTGTGTGTGTACTCAGCAGTCTGTGTGTGTGTGTGTACTCAGCAGTCTGTCTGTATGTGTATTCATCAGTCTCTGTATTCAGCAGTCTTGTGTGTGTATTCAGCAGACTGTGTGTATGTATTCAGCAGTCTGTGTGTGTATGTATTGCATTTGTTGGAGATACTAATAAATATAAGCTTAATTTTATCTATTTATATCATTATTTAAAATTTGTATCATTGAACTCTCTGTGTTCTTTTAAAACAAAAGTTATTAGTTCGGACAACAGTACGAGTTGTTTTTTCTAAACTTAAACCTCAGTATTTGGGTTTAATTGTCGTGTTGGCACTTTAAGGAGAAAAATGTTGGCATGTATTGCGGTTTGGGCACTCGGGCTCAAAAAGGTTCGCCATCACTGCCTTAGAGTATTTTAGGGGGGCGTGGCCTGGACGGGAACGCGAGCGGTCGCATGTTCTAACAGCTCCGCGGCAGTAAAGGCCCTCACACGTTAATTAGACCCAAACCGGACAAAATCAACGGGCACCAGGCGCTACCGACCATGTCCCACGCCAAGGCAAAGCGGGCGACCGAGAAACAGGACAAACTCCTGTTTTTCAACGCCAAACAAGGGCACACGCGGGGAGCGGCAACACAGGAAGACCTCCAAGATGGCAGACGGAGCCCAAGGAATGCTTACAGAGGCCTCGGGCCGCGTCCTCACCACGGAGGGGATGCAGGCTATGCTCGACGATATGGAGGCGAAACTGCAAACAACACTGCAACGCTCATTCACAGACCTCCGTGCAGACATCCACAAATTGGGGTCACGCACCTCAGATCTGGAGAATCAGATGGAGGCGCAATCGGAGGCTCACAACCGCCTATCTAATAAGGTGGAGGAAGTATGGGACAGGATGCAAGAATATGAGGCCAAAATTGCGGACTTGGAGGACCGCGCACGCCGCAGTAACCTGAGACTGCGGAACGTGCCTGAAGACATAGGCCCGCAAGAGCTGCAGGCGTACGCAACGGGGCTTTTCCGCACACTTGTCCCTGATCTGCCACAGAGTGTCCTGCTGTTGGATCGCATCCACAGAGTGGCAAAGCCCCAATACCTACCTGCTGATACGCCAAGAGATATCGTCTTGAAGATGCATTACTACCATGCGAAGGAGGCGGTCCTGAGAGCGAGCCGCACACGAAAAGACATACCTACTGAATTCCAAAAGGTGGGAATCTTCGCGGACATCTCTGCTATGACGTTGAGGAAGAGAAAGACTTTTGGCGCTATCACAGCGGCTCTGCGAGACAGCAACATCGCATACAGGTGGGGATATCCGACCAAGTTGCTGGTCCAACGCAACGGCACCCTTACAGCCATCACATCCCCAGAGGAAGGTCTCCTGAAGCTGAGAGAATGGGGCATCACCCCGCGCCCAGAACCACAGAGGCCTGCATCGCACGAGCGACACACCTCCACATGGAAGCGGGTGCGAAAATAGCCCTGGACGGGGAACAAATACGAACTTTTCAAGTCGCCCGCAAGTATACAGTATGCTGCATCACGCAATGCAAAATAGCCATGTTATGCATATTGTTTGATTTTGGTGTGATTTAATGTTAGACTATCCAAGCCAGACTAGGGGTATGATAACCAGGGAGCAATTGAGGTCAGATAGCCAGACAAAGTTATAACCAGATATTTAAGGGTCATGTGTAGACCTAAGCTAAGTCCGTACAGAGTTAGGGATAACCTCTCCCAACGGTGTTAATGCTAAGTTTAAAAAAATAAAAAAATAAAAAATATATCAAGTATAACAATACAATAATACCACACCCCCAATAAAAAGTCTTACCAAGCCCCAAAGACCAAATACGCCTAATAATGTAGAGCGATGGCTCACTAAAGAGTGTTAGCTAACAAGAAGACGGCATAACAGTGCAAATTGGGTCAATCACCATGTTAAAAGAAACAAGAGGGCTGCACTCGCGGCAGCACACTCCCCCCACGCAGGATCGAAGCATTACGCTCCGACCCCCATGGCTCCCTAAATGGGAACCTTGCCATTATTCTGGCATTTTTGTTTATGATTGTATATAGGTTTGCATTTTATGTAATATTGAGTTATGTTCTTGTTATGTTTCCCTCCCTTAGCCCCCCTACAACCAACTCGGGCCAAGTGGGTGGCCCACACGTATTACCTACCATATACACTGTAGCATCACGAGCGCCTCTCCACCGGATACAAAGCACCGAACAGACATACCTACCGAATACCCGCAGGGGTTATCTTAGTGGGATCTGCCCAGCTCGCCGTAGCTGGGGAGGGCAGAGCCCCATCATAGACCAATACATATCAAACTCTCACAATACCTTCCCATACAAACCACCTTAAGTTTTACAGCCACAATGTAAGGGGACTCAATCTCCCGGTCCAACGACACCTTCTTAGCAGGGATGTAGGTAAAGCTGATGCGGACATCGTGTGTTTACAGGAAACACATTTCAGGGGCACGTCCCATCCCAGCATCCTGACCAACTCCTACCCTCACCAGTTCCACTCTACGTCCACGACCAAATCCAAGGGAGTCACCACCCTGCTCAGTAAAAAAGTCGCTTTCACTCTGATCACTGAGGACACCGACCCAGAAGGCAGATACGTTATAATAGTGGGACACATAAATAATATACTATATACCATAGTAAATATATATGCCCCAAACACCAACCAGAGGAATTTCATACACAGAATGATACACAAAATCTCCCACATCCAACAAGGCACTACAATTATATGTGGGGACCTGAACCATGTCCTAAACCCAGCTGTAGACACTACTCTCTCCCGAACCAGCCCGCGATATAAATCACTTAAGCGCCAAAGCGCGGCCCTGACCAAATTACTGTCATTGCATCACTACTATGATGCATGGAGAGTCACGCACACAGAAGACAAAGAGTACACCCACCACTCGCAGGTTCATAATACATACTCGAGAATCGACGCGATCCTAGTGGAGGGAACCACACTAGGGCAGGTAGTGGACTGTTGGGTGGGACAGATAGTGTGGTCTGACCATGTCCCTATAGAACTAATCTTGAGGGACACTTATGACTTCAAACATAGGAGCCCCTGGCGGCTTAACGAGACCCTCCTGACAGACAAAACCTTCTCGGGAACGCTAGCAGAGTCCCTACAAACCTATTTTACAGACAATGCCAACCCCGACTTACAACACCACACAATTTGGCAAGCTCATAAGGCAGTTGCCCGTGGACTCCTTATAAAACAAGCATCATACATTAAAAGGAAGACACAGACACAAGTGACGAAGTGGCAAAAAGACATTTACACACTGACGATACAAAATCAACTCCACCCCACACAACAGCTAAAAGAACAAATAGCCCTAGTGCGCCATCAACTTCGCCAACATGCGCTAACTAAGGTAGGACACAATTTATGGAAATTGAAAGCCTCACACTACGCCCAGGGGAATAGAGCGAGTAAACTACTGGCAGCAAGGTTAAAAAAGCGACAACAGTCACAGAAAATAGCGTACCTACACACGAAAGCAGGGGGAAAAGCTATGTCGCCGCTCACTATTAGCGATGAGTTCGCACAATACTATGGGGACCTGTACAATCTTAGCAACGATGCAACCATACCCACACCGACAACGGCCGAGATAGAGACATACCTAAACAAAATCAACCTCCCGACTTTGACAGCCCAACAGAAAGACACCCTTACCCGACCAGTCACCCCTGAGGAGGTAGGGGACACCATAAAGTCGCTACCAAGGGGCAAGGCCCCGGGCCCTGATGGATTTGCCAACTCTTACTATAGCAAATTTAGAGATATATTGGCCCCATGCCTAGCAGAAGTCTTCAATGAGGCTGTGAGAACACAAACCCTACCGGAGGAAATGCAGCTCGCCCACATTATCACTTTGCCTAAGCCTGGCAAACCCCCAAATTATCCACAAAATTTTAGACCCATATCCCTCCTTAATACTGACACTAAACTACTGGCGAAACTGTTCGCTATGAGGCTAAGCCCGATATTACCACACATCATACACGACGACCAAGTGGGATTTGTGACGGGGCGCCAGGGGGCAGACAACACCAGAAAAGTCCTCGACCTCATGCAAAGCTTAGGGGCGAAACGGGAAGGGGGGGTTCTGCTCTCACTGGACGCAGAAAAAGCCTTTGACCGACTGGGGTGGGGATTTCTGCAGGCGGCCCTGAGGAGGTACGGGATGCCGGAGGGGTTTATTTCAGTGGTCAGGGCATTGTATTCGGCACCAAGAGCCCAAGTACTTAATTCGGGTTTTGTGTCAAAAAAGATAACCATTACCAATGGAACAAGACAGGGGTGCCCCCTGTCCCCCCTGCTATATGTACTGGCACTGGAGCCGCTGGCTGCAGTGATCAGAGCCCACCCTGATATACATGGGGTCCAAGTGGGGGACAGGGAGTACACCCTTAATCTATTCGCAGACGACATACTCCTGATGTTGACGCAACCAATAATATCCCTACCGAATTTACTACAGTGCATACGAGAATATAACAAAGTATCCTACTACAAATTAAACCTCACAAAAACACAAGCAATGGGAATCCATCTGCCAGAACATACTTTACAAACACTGACGAACTCCTTCACCTTTGACTGGAGGGAAGACTATATCACATTCCTGGGGATTAAGCTAGCCAAGACGAGCGGCCAAATGTTTAAATATAATTATGAGAAACTCCTGCAGGAAATCTCTCAGACGTTAGACCAGTGGAACAGTGACTTCCACTCGTGGCATGGGCGCATAGCGGCATTTAAAATGTCACTGTTGCCAAAATTACAATACCTATTCCGCACGCTGCAAATCCCTATACCTAGGCAATATATGGTCAAACTACAAAAAATCATCACGAGATTCGTGTGGGCGAACAAAACACCCAGAGTGGCTTACTCTACAATAAAAAGAACAACGGAGAGGGGGGGTATGAGCTTCCCAGACGTCAAACTGTACTACAAGGCGGCCATTCTAGCAGCGCTAGCCACGACACACAGGGCAGCTAACCCACCACAATGGGTAGCCATTGAATCCCAATGGACGTGTAGAGCAGGGATGCACCACTTGTTTTGGGTGCCAAAACACCTAAGGCCAACAACACCGACCATGCTAGAGACCACCAAACTAATGCTGCATACCTGGGACACATATAGAACGCACCTCAGTGGCTCAGGAACCACATCGCTAGCATCGACAATGTATAGTATCCACCTGAGGAACAAAACATTTGACTACAGGACTTGGACGAATGCAGGGTGTACACACATACACGACTTATACAAGGGTACATCCCTAAAACAGTTCCCGGACCTACAAACACAATACAACCTACCGAGTAAAGCAATTTTCTCATACTTGCAGCTCAAGTCCACCCTACGGCAACCCAAGACTCCACCTATGACACCCATGATCTCAAACTTTGACACGTGGTGCCTCACGGGCAAGCCACACAGACGAAGCATTTCAAAAATATATAACACATTACTTGAGGGCACTCACGCATCCACAGACAACTTTATACAGGCATGGCACAAAGACCTTGGCAGCACCTTCACGGAGGCCCAATGGTCCAGAGCCTTCACAATCCACAAGGGCAACACAGCCTGCATTACACACTTTGAACAAGTGAGAAAACTGCAATACAGGTGGTATTTGGTCCCCACACGGCTAGCACACATGTTCCCGAATGTGTCTACTCAGTGCTGGAGATGCCAGCTAGATACAGGCTCACTAATACATATTTGGTGGACGTGTAAAGACGTGCAACCTTACTGGGCCATGGTGAGCACCATCGTGGACCAACTGCTTCCTGCAAAGATGACCCTGACCCCGGCTACATGTCTCTTATACATATGGCCAGAAGGCCTGACCAAGGTCCACTCCAAACTCCTATTCCACACGCTGATAGCAGCATGTAACCTAATAGCAAAAAACTGGAAATCACGGAACATCCCCACAAAAGCTGAGCTAGTTACCCAGATCCAAAAGAATTGGGAATATGAACGCATGGCGGCCCAACAATTGGGGACGGGAGTGGCAACTATGGAGGCGGGGAAAATTTGGGAACAATACTGGAACAAGGTGAAGTCCCAAACAACTGGGGATGAGTAAGATTCTTTAGCCTCACCAACGCAATCTGAGAGGGTATACCCCGGGAAACAGTGGATAGAGGCCGGTGATGAGAGACCAAACAGATACAGCGAACCCTTCTCAAAAGAAACCAGGTAGATGTAACACATACAGACGAGACAAACAATCCACCAGTGTATATACTTAAGCTAACTCCCCTCATACCCCCCCCCCAGGTGAGCACCTGGACCCCCCCCACTCCCCCCACCACCTCCTTCTGTCCAACTCATTGACATAGGCCACACGGTAAAAAGGCACGACAACGAGCGCAGGACAGGCTGGTAAACATGTGGACACCTCCGGGCTGAGGTGCATAGACAGTGCCCTGCCGACACTGTTTAAACTATCCCAACTACGGCTGTACTAAGTAAAGTGGGATATAATGACCGTTGGAAATACACACGGTACCAACTAACCCCACTCCATCATACCCCACATTTGTCGTCTGTGATTCCCACCCCCACCGTTGAAACACTAATGGTATACCAGGTAACCTCAGCCAGACCGGCATCTGGAGATACATGTTAAAGAGCCAAAACAATAAGTTGGGTATACAGAAAGGCCGGACAAGGTTGTAGTCATGATTATAAATACTAATAACCTGTGTATTGTATAAAGTGAAAATGTTGTATAAAGTATAATGTCATGAGTGGAACCTTCGTTATTCCACCCTGCCCCATTCATCCCCACCCCCCATTAATTTTTGTATCCCTTCCCCCCCCCCCTTTTTTCTATATGGAAAATAAAAATTGTCAAATTGAAAAAAAAAGAAAAATGCCTTAGAGTATTTTAAAAAACATTTAAGCAAATACAAAAGTATTTAACTATTACAAAAATTACAAAGATTTTAGAAGATGATCTCTTAATATTAAATCAAGCAATTTCTTTAGAAGAAGTTGATAAGCAAATTAGCAAACTAGAACTAAATAAAACCCCAGGACCTGATGCGTATACAAATTTATATTATAAAATGATGAAATACATACTGATCAAACCCCTTACAGATTTCTTTAATGAGTTTGCATTAAATAACAAAATTCCTAAAGAATTACTCCAATCGAATATTCTTCCTATTGTAAAACCAGGTAAAGATAGTAGATATGTAGAAAATTACAGACCAATTTCACTAATCAATGTCGATGTTAAATTATATGCCTCAATTATTGCCGAAAGACTGAAAACTATTATCCCAAAAATAATACATACAGACCAAACCGGTTTTGTACCGAGAAGGTCTACAACCAATAGTGCTAGAACAATTTTGGATATATTAGATCAATCAGGAAAGAGGCAGATTCCCCTGCTGACCCTGTCACTAGACGCAGAGAAGGCGTTTGACAGGGTTGGCTGGGGATACATAATGAGCCTTTTGGAGGAATATGGATTTAGTGGTATGATTTTCAATGCCATTATGGCACTTTATTTGGCTCCATCAGCGAGGACTGTTGGAGCCAATATATGCGCAGAGTGGTTTGAATTAGAGAATGGTACAAGGTAGGGGTGCCCTTTGTCACCCCTGCTATATATATTATCATTGGAACCATTAGCAATCAATATAAGGGATAATTGTAATATTAAAGGTTTTCACACCGCTATAAGGGAAATCAAAATTTCGCTATATGCTGATGATACTACAATTATAATGACTTCTCCTGAACAATCTCTACCAGAATTAATGAAAGAAATGAATAAATATGCTTTGGTTTCAAATTACAAACTAAATACACTAAAATCCACGGCAATGTATAAAAATATGGATAAATCGATAGTGGAAAAATTGAGAAAGGAATATGTTTATTTGAACTAAAAAAGTAATAAATCATTTAGGAGTTTTAACTCCAGCTAGAGTGGAAAACACAATGGAAATGAATGTATTGGAATTATTAAAATATACTAATAAAACACTAAAATCATGGAGAAATGTGCAGACATCATGGTGGGGGAAAATTAATGTTGTAAACGCATATATAGTACCCAAATGATCCTATTTATTTGTAATGATACCTCTTAAAATTTCTAAAAGCTGGCTAGATTCGATTCAAGCCAGTTTTTCATCTTATATCTGGAAGAATAAAAAGCCCAGGATCAGATTAAAGATACTTTCTAAAAAGATAAAACAAGGTGGTTTAAACTTTCCTAACGCAAAACTTATATATTATGCGAATGTAATCAAACATATATACAAATTACAAGAACAACATGTGAATGTAGACCCTTGGTACATTATTGAAGCAGAAGCAACTAAAACAAGGAATTTGAAGTATTATCTATGGTTAAACTGTTATAAGAAACATATAGAGGCCCTTACAGATACATCATTAATATTATATCAACTCCTACAAGTTTGGGAGGAGATAAAAAAAAGCTTTGGGAATTGCTAAATATATACCAAAAACCTGTAAATTAACTGTACTAGAACAAAATATGAAAGATTTATCATTAAAGAATTGGCCGAATAAAGATTCAATTTCACAAATAATGAAAGATAAGATCATTCTATTAGAAGAGATGGTGAAAAAGTTTCAAGTCCCAAATAGGGAAATTTTTACATATTTAAGAATAAAAAACTTTCTAGATATTAATATTTTAAAATCTTCATTTCAGTCTGCAAGTCTCATGGAAAATATATTTAGCAACATTTATGTTAATAAAGTAATTTTCTAAAGCAAATCTCCTTCTAGACATGCTTAATGATAACACAATGAAAATAATAAATTATTGGGAGAAAGAACTAGAATTAACTATGACATTGGAAGAATGGTGTTCCTCTTTGTCACATATTTCTAAAAATATACATTGCTTGAATTTAACAGAGTGCCATTTCAAAGTTATAAATAAATGGTATTTAACACCAAATAAATTAGCTAAAATGTATCAGAATTGCAACCCTACGTGTTGGAGATGTGGCAGTAATTTGGGTTCATATATTCATATATGGTGGTCTTGCCCAGGTGTTAAAGGACCACTCTAGGCACCCAGACCACTTCAGCTTAATGAAGTGGTCTGGGTGCCAGGTCCCTCTAGGATTAACCTTTTCTTCTATAAACATAGCAGTTTCAGAGAAACCGCTATGTTTATAATAGGGTAATCCAGCCTCCAAATCATCTAGTGGCTGTCTCATTGACAGCCGCTAGAGGCGCTTGCGTGATTCTCACTGTGAAAATCACAGTGAGAACACGCAAGCGTCCATAGGAAAGCATTGTAAATGCTTTCCTATGAGACCGGCTGAATGCGCGCGCAGCTCTTGACGCGCATGCGCATTCAGCCGAAGGGGAGGAGAGGAGGAGGAGAGCTCCCCGCCCGGCGCTGGAGAAAAGGTAAGTTTTAAGCCCTTCCTCTCCCCAGAGCCGGGCGGGAGGGGAACCCTGAGGGTGGGGGCACCCTCAGGGCACTATAGTGCCAGGAAAACAAGTATGTTTTCCTGGCACTATAGTGGTCCTTTAATGAAATCTGGTCTTGGGTTTTTAAACTTTATTATGATTTGACAGGTATAAAACTAATATTTTCACCTACAGTCGCACTTTTACATGTAAACTGGAATTTAAAATCACAAAATGATATCTGTACTGCTGTCCATTGTTTCATAGCTATGAAAATTATAATAGTTAGAAATTGGAGGTCCTCCTTACCTTTTCAAAAACAACATATACTCTCTCAAATTAAAACACAATTGAATATGGAAAAATCGCTTACGATAAATCATATTTCTCAAATAAAAAAAAATGCTATGTATGAAAATTGGTTAAACAAATTGTCAACAATGTAAGATCTACCCTGAACATAGTTACATAGCTGAAAAGAGACTTGCGTCCATCAAGTTCAGCCTTCCTTACATTTGTTTTTTGCTGTTGATTCAAAAGAAGGCAAAAAAAAACAGTTTGAAGCACAATTTTGCAACAAGCTAGGAAAAAAAATTCCTTCTTGACCCCAGAATGGCAGTCAGATTTATCCTTGGATCAAGCAGTTATTACCCTACATTGAAAGATTATATCCTTGAATATTCTGTTTTTGCAAGTATGCATCTAGTAGCTGTTTGAACATCTGTATGGACTCTGATAAAACCACTTCTTCAGGCAGAGAATTCCACATCCTTATTGTTCTTACAGTAAAAAAACCTTTCCTTTGCCTTAGACGAAATCTTCTTTCTTCTAGTCTAAACGCATGACCTCGTGTCCTATGTAAAGTCCGGTTTGTGAATAGATTTCCACACAATAGTTTGTATTGGCCCCGAATATATTTGTATAATGTTATTATATCCCCCTCAGGCGATGTTTTTATAAACTAAATAGGTTTAAATTTGTTAACCTTTCTTCATAGCTGATATGTTCCATTCCTTTTATTAATTTTGTAGCCCGCCTTTGCACTTTTTCTAGTGCCATAATAACCTTCTTTAGAACAGGTGTCCAAAATTGCACAGCATATTCAATATGTGGTCTTACCAGTGATTTATAAAAAGGCAAAATGATATTCTCGTCCCGAGAATGAATGCCCTTTTTCATGCATGACAATACCTTACTGGCCTTGGCCACTGCTGATTGACATTGCACATTGTTGCATAGTTTGTTGTCTATAACAATTCCCATGTCCTTTTCATGTGTTGTTATCCCTAATTCGCTTCCATTAAGGGTATACGTTGCTTGTGTATTCTTTACGCCGAAGTGCATAACATTGCATTTTTCAACATTAAATTTCATCTGCCATTTGAGTGCCCAGTCCCCCAGTCTATCTAAATCCCTCTGCAGCAAAGTAATATCTTACATTGTATTACTTTACAGAGTTTTGTGTCATCTGCAAACACTGAAACATGACTTTCAATGCTGTCCTCAAGATCATTTATAAAAATGTTAAATAGAAGGGGTCCCAGAACAGACCCCTCAGGGACACCACTTGCCACTTCTGTCCAGCTTGAAAATTTACCATTAATGACAACTCTTTGTACTCTGTTTTTAAGCCAATGTTCTACCCAAGAACAAGCATTTTCATCTAGACCGATTTCCTTGAGTTTGAACACTAATCTATTGTGTGGAACTGTATCAAATGCCTTGGCAAAATCCAAATAGATCACATCCACTGCAACACCCTGATCTACACTTCTACTTACTTCTTCGTAGAACACAATCAAGTTAGTTTGACATGACCTGTGCTTCATAAAACCTTGCTGATTTTTGCTGATAACCATGTTCTTCTCAAGGAATTCTTGAATATTATCCCTTAATAACCTTTCAAATATTTTCCCAGCCACAGAAGTTAAGCTCACAGGTCTATAATTTCCAGGCAAGGATTTTGAACCTTTTTGAATATAGGAACCACATCTGCCTTCCTCCAATCCTCTGGAACACTTCCTGAAAGAAAAGAATCTTGAAAGATTAAAAACACTTAGTTCCTTAAGTACTCGTGGATGGATACCGTCAGGCCCTGGAGCTTTGTTTATATTAACTTTCTTTAGTTGCTGCAGCACCTTGTCTTGAGTTAACCAATTACAATTATTCTGCAAGTTTTTAGTAGCAATCATTTGCACATCTATTGCCATGGGTTCTTCCTTAATATATACGGAGGAGAAATAGTTATTTAAAATTCCTGCCTTTTCCTGGTCTTCATTAACTAACACACCCGTTTCAGTTTTTAGTGTACCTACACTTTCATTTTTGGGTTTTTTAGAATTTATGTACTTAAAAAATGCTTTGGGGTTGGTTTTGCTCTCTTTAGCTATCATTTTTTTCATTTTGAAGTTTAGCAAATCTAATTGCCTTTTTGCACGCATTATTTGCTTCCTTATATCTTTTATAAGATGCATCTGATTTGTCCGATTTAAATGCTTTAAATGCCCTTTTCTTATTTTTAATCTCTTGTTTTACTTCTCTACTAAGCCACATTGGTTTTAATTTGTTTCTTTTATATTTATTTCCCAATGGTACATACTGAGAAATGTACCTTTCTAATATTTGTTGGAAGATTATCCATTTATTAATAACATAGTATAGGTACATAATTTAAGTACAGTATATCAAAATAGGAACTATTGTCAGGTTCATTTTACATCGGATATCATATTTCAGTTAGAACAGTGGTCCTTTTCATAAATTGCAATGCTGTTTTGTATTGATACCGTGTGTATCCAATTGAGCTTGTCAGGTGCGAGATCAAGGTGGTTATACTAATTTTCATAGGTACATTTAGGTTGCATGCTTAATAACGTTAATCTTCTTCATCGTTTGTCGATAAATATGAGAGTGTGGTGTGATGCAATGTAGTGTGTTATGGGTTAAGAGGGTCATTGTATAGGGAGTATAAGTAGGTTAGCATAGTACAAAATAACCAAAACAAAAGAGATTAAAATAAATTAATGTGGATTATAGTAAGTTAAGTTATATTATATTAAAGATCCCCACATATTGTGTGGACCTCCGTGTGTGTTATCCCTGTCCCCGGTGTGTCAGTATTACTTAACGTGTCAGATCCATGGAGGGTTATCTCTTGCGTTACTGTGGTGAGATAGCTCCCATTCTTCTTTACGTGATGTCCCCTGTGTCTCAAATGGTCCATCAAGCCTCCGGTCTATTTCCCTGATTGGTCTATATGATGCTAGGGTGTCATGTTTCGGGGATGATGAGTGAGGGGAGATACTTAATAGGATGTATGTAGTGGTGGGAATATGACGTGTGGGTGTCCAGAGTCTTCCATTAAGGGACATAATATTTTGCTGTACGTGGTTCAGGAATATGGCTGTTGTCTTGGGTGGTAATTAGTTGACCAAATTTCGGCCCTTCGGTATTGTGTTTTGGGCTTCCTTTAAAGTCCGAGTTAGCTGTTACTGTTCCGCGTTGTAGTGTCGGAGTTGTTATGGTGAATTTGTTAAGTCAGTTTTCGCCGAGTTTTCATCAAGCTGTAACATCGTTGGGATTGCTAAACATGTCTCGTTGTGTCCCTCTATACCTGCGTTTTTAATGAGGTCCGGGTTCCCTATCTGTGGTGTGTGATGGCCCTATACCCCGTCTCCTATGTCTTAGGGTCCGTGCAGGGGTAGTGTTTGATCTTTCTCCGGCTAGTTGTATGTACGCGATTTTTTTGCATGTGTCCCATTGTCTGTTCTATCTATGTTGTTCCCCTGTCTGAAATATTTGTATTGTAGTCTGTGTGTTAGGTGTGGCTCGTATATCCACCAGCGCAAGATGGTGGTTATGGATCATAGCGTAGGGTGCTGTGAGGGCTGCCCCGTCCCCCAGCCCCAACCACCCACTGACACCCCCCTATGTACTCGCACAGAAGGTAAACCATGGCGCCCAGGTCTCTGCCTATTTTGCTAGTCTCCCTGCCATTTCCACCTGAAGTGCTCCTGCTGCCCTAATATCCTCAACTCTGTGGATCCATTCCCCCTGTTTGGGGATGTCCGTTTTCTTCCAGTACACCGGTATGAGTGATTTAGCTGCGTTTAACAAGTGGCGCAGAATTGATTTTTTGTACTTGGACAGTGGTTGTGAGGAAATGTGTAGTAAGGCTAGTTCTTCTGACCATTCAATATCGAGGATCAATTGAATGTCTGATTTGATACGATTCCAGTACGGGGTGATATGGCTGCATTCCCACCAGATGTGCAGGAGTGTCCCTCTGTCTTCCTGGCATCTCCAGCATGTTGTGGGGAAGATCTTGTGTAGCAATACCGGTGTTCTATACCACATGGAGATCAGCTTATAGTTGACCTCTTGATAGTGTGAACTGGAGGAGCTTTTCTGTTGCCATATCAAGGCTTTGTCCCATTGTGTCGGTGTGAATGTTTTGTCCATGGCTCTCTCCAAGTGCCGCTAGAAGGTGTTGTTCTCTGAGGTGGGACTGGTCAGTAGGTGTTGGTAGAGGGTCGAGACAGATTTTTCAAGTGAGGTTCCTCGTGAGCAAAGGTCTTCGAACCATGTTAGATCTCTTTGTACTTTTTCTGGAAGCGAATTGTAATTGTGCTTTAGTTGCATGTATTTGAAAACCGCCATAGGGGACCGTGGTCGTTCTTCAAACAGTGTGTCTAGTGTCCTCATGTTGCCTTCCCGGATGACTTTGCATATTGGGATGTAGTCTGCTTCGCCTAGAAATGTCCAGGCATCCGCAGGTAATCCACCACCCAAGGTTAGGGTTGTGTGTTATCAGGAGTAAAAGGCAGGGGGTCAGGGAAACTTGTGGTGTTTCCCTGAGTGTTTCCCAGGTGAGTAGTGTTTGTGCAACGGGATCCTCATCCCTTCTCCCGTTACCCCCGGTCGCTCGTCTTCTCCATACCATGGCCTTTAATTTCGTTGCGTCTCCGTCCCAATCTAAACCCACCCATTGTTTGATCGTTTCCGATTCGTGCCATTCCAGGATTTGCTGTAGCGTTGTAGCTTGGTGAGATTTTTTAAAGTCTGGCAGTGCTAGCCCCGTGTCTGGGCATGCATAGTAAATCGTGGCGCAGTCTGGATCTTTCTCCCCTCCATACATTTTTAATAACCGCCGATTTCAGAGTCGTGAAAAATGTCTCCGGTAGTGCTACCGGTATGGTCTGAAATAGGTAAAGCACCCTCGGGGGTATATTAATTTTAAGTACCGCTATGTGGCCGTGCCACGGAATGTGTGGGTAGGCCCATCTTTTCAGATCTAGTTTGATTTTCTGCAGGAGTGGGGCGAAATTGCGCCGATAAATCTCTTGTGGGTTTGTGGGCACCCAGATGCCGAGATACCTCATCGCTTCTGTGCACCAGCGAAATGGGAAGAGCGAGCCGAAAGTTTCGTACTCTACCATAGGCATGGTGATGTTCAGCGCCTCGCATTTCGCCTGGTTGAGCTTGAATCCTGATATCCGGACCAATTTATCTATTTCCTATAGTAGGCACGGTAGTGTGATCCGTGGTTGGGAGACAAAGAATAGGAGGTCGTCCGCGTATGCGGCCACTTTATGTTCCGTAGCATACCAGGGGGTTCCAAGGATAAAACCTTTACAAATTCTTGTGGTCCCGTATTGCCTGTAGGAGGGGCTCCAGGGATAGGGCGAACAAGAGAGGCGGCAGGGGGTAGCCCTGACTGGTTCCATTTGCGATCCCAAAGCTTGTAGTCAGTGCTCCATTAACGCGTACTGCCGCCCTCGGTGTGCTATACAAGGTGGATATCCATGCCATGGTTCTCTGTCCTATGCCCATATCCCGGAGCGTTCGGGTCATGTATGTTCCGTTAACCAAACGCCTTCTCCGCATCTGTGGATAATAGCAGGAGGTGTTTCTGGTATTTCCGTACATGATGTTGTATGGCGAACAGGCGTAGTGTACTATCCCTTGCTTCTCAGCCCGGTATAAACCCCATCTGGTCTATGTGAACAAGTACCCGTGGAAGTTTGGTCGCCAATACTTTTGTAAGGAGTTTTGTGTCCACATTCAGCAGGGAGATCGGGCGGTAGCTGCTGCATTGTTCCGGGTCCTTCCCGGGTTTAAATAGGACAGTTATAGTTGCTGTCAGGGATTCCATGCCAAAGTGTCCTCCCTCTGCCACTTTGTTGATCGCCTTTGTCAGCCATGGTAACAGTATTGTTGCGAAGTGTTTGTGGTATCCCGTGGAGCACCCGTCCGGTCCTGCTGCTCTTCCCGTTTTCGTGTTTTTTTAGTGCCGCGGCTAGGTCTTCCGTGCCAATTGGTTCGTCAAGCATGGACGCTGCCTCTGGGTTCACTCGTGTCCGCACGTTGTCTTGTAGGTAATTCCGTATGTGCAGTGATGAGTCCCGTCCTTGAGTCGAGTTCTCCGGTGCCTGAAGATTGTAGAGGGAGTTGTAGTAGTCCCGGAATTCTCCAGCTATGTCATCTGGGTATGGGGATAGTCTGCCCGATGACAATCGAAGTTTTCATACTTGTGTGCGTGACATAAGCATATCGCCTTTTAAGAGGCGGGCGAGGAACTTCCCTCCCTTGTTCGCATGGGTATAGAAAAAGTTTTTAGATCTTTGGAGCGAGCGGAGGTACTGCTGCGTGAGGAGAGTCTTCAGTCGTCGCCATTAATTCCCCATATATTTCGACTAGGTGGGAACGTTTGTGTTGGAGTTCTAGGCGAGTTGGTGCCGTATATTTCTGTCATCTCGCGTGTTGCTTCCTTCCTCTTACGGGTTGCGATGCTGATAAGGGTGCCACGTATAACAGACCGGGGATATATCTTCCGTACCATTTTCTCTAAAGTATGTTTCCAGTGCTTGGGAGACTTCCCCTCTCACTCCGAGATCCTGGAGTATTGATTCGTTCAGGCGCCATGTCCAAGTTGCTGGTTTAAACAAGGGGGATTCTAGTTCCACCTGGACTGATCCATGGTCCGACCATGTGGCAGATTCTATGGAGGCGGAGCGTAGGCGAGAGAGACCTTCCTGTCGAATCAACAAGTAGTCTATTCGGGAATAGCGATTGTGTAGTGCTGAATAGTGTGTGTAGTCCTTGCTGGTGGGATGAATCGTCATCCAGCAGTCAACCAGTGCCAGCTCTCCCAGTGATTTGCGGATGGATCTGATGTGAGGTTGTGAGAGGCAACTATGGCCAGTTGATGAGTCCATCAGTGGGTCCAGTGGGGCATTAAAGTCCCCTCCCACAATCAGTGCCCCCTCCGAGAATCCTTATAGCTTGTTTAGTGTCCCCCTGAGAAATTGTGCTTGTTTTGAATTGGGTACATATATGGTTGCAAATGTGTATACTCTGTCGGCTATCACACCTTTTATGAAGAGAAATCGTCCTAGGTCAGCTGCCATCAATATAGCAACTCCTGCCCGGCGTGTCTCCAGGTGGTTGTTGCAGTAGCCGATAGGGTGGTAAGTGCTCCGGAGTTTGGGAGCAGAGCCCTCCCTAAAATTAGTCTCCTCTGGCATTGCTATTGATATGTGTTTCTTTCGCAGTACCCTCAGTAGGTGTGTGCGATGTTCCGGTATATTCAGGCCTCTGCAATTGAGTGTCATGATGGACAGGGGAGTGTTTTGGTGCGCCATGGTCCCTCCCGCGGTCGAGTGTGCCTGCCCGTAAGGGGCGCGCCCGTGAGAGGCGAAAAGCCGGGCCGACGGTGCATCCCAGTGGGAATGGCTTCGCGGGTGTTAAGTGTAGTCGCTAGTATGCACTTTACAGGCCTGTGTAGGGTTGGGTGTCAGAGTTCCCTGTCCGTCACCGTTTACTTTTGGGTCTCTGTGGGTGTGTCGTCCCTTGTTAATTGTATCCCGTAGGACGGTTCCGTGCCTAAATGTATAAATGGGCAAGATCAGGCAGAAAAGGTCCGTCAGGGTTTCTTCTATGTCCTCTTCATCCTCTGTTTCTGGTATTCCGCGTACCCGTATATTGCACCTGCATCCGCGATTGTCTAGGTCTTCGATCGATGTCCTTAGCTGTAGGAGTAGGTCACCTTGTTTCGCAAGGGCTGTATCTGTCGCCGGTTGTCTTGCAGTCTGGGCCTCGTGGGAGTGTTCCAGCTCCTGAATTCGGGTCCCCTGTGCCGTGACTTCCGTCCGGATTCTGGCCATTTCAGCGCGCAGTGCGTCCTGTATCGTAGTGTAAGGACCAGGAGGTCCGCTTTCGTGGCCATGGAGGCCGATATTGTGCGAATTTCTTCCCCAATGCCCTCGAGGGTAGAGGTAGGGGGACCTCCGGGCGAGGAGGAGGGGGGCACCATCTTGGAGCCTCCGGCCTCGTCGTGTGTTTCAGCTGGCGTCTGTAGAAATCCGTCCATCGGACCAAACGATTGGCTTGGTTGAGGTCCCCTGGGGTCCTGGGGGGATCACCTCTTCGGTTCCATCCCATTAGAGCTGATAAAGGCTGATTAATAGGGCTTTTTAGGGGCCGGTGGAGCAGAGCTCACTGCTTAAGCGTCCATCCCGGTCGATGTCCAAGCCACGCCCTTAACTAATTGAAATTGGCCTTTTAAAAATTATATGTTTTAGTATACCCCATGTGCTTTTGGGTTTTTTGAGTTTATTTCAAAGGACACTATATTGTGATCACTATTTCCCAAGTGCTCACCTACTTGAATGTTGGTGAAAAGATCAACGTTGTTTGTTAAAACCAGGTCCAGACAAGCGTCCATTCTAGTTGGTGCTTGTACAAATTGTGACATGAAGGTGTTATTTAACAAGTTTAAAAACCTAATTCCCTTTGCTGAGCTACTAGTCCCTCTGTCCCAATTTATGTCCGGGTAATTGAAATCTCCAATAATTAAAGTGTTACCCAGATTTGCAGCTTTCTCAATTTGCTTAAACAGCTGTTGTTCCTCGTCAATATTAACATTAGGTGGTTTATAACATATCCCAACCAATAGTTGGTTTCCCTTCTTTTCCCCCAAGCAGATATTTACCCATTGTGGCAAAACTAGCCACTTAAGAATGTAGTTGTATAAATGTGTTTCTATAGCTTTAAGGTTGTTAGAACCAAGTGTATTCATGTATCTGCATTTCAGGCGAACAAGAGCATTCGTATGCTGGAGTTTCACGAACAGTGAATTTCAACACTGTTCGTGAAACGAATAAACTACCGAATGGGCGACCACACACAGGAGGTCGTGTGGCGCCCATTAACCGATTGCAACATTGTTGCAATTGGTAGTTAAGTGCTTTCTTAGGTGGCCGTCATTCGGCCACCAACCACGCCGCGGTCGGCCATCTTGGATCCTTTGTTAGCCCAGCGGTATTTGGTCGTCGAGCGCCTGGAACTAAAATCGGCTACTCGACGGCACGAATACCGCTGGACTTCCAGGCCGTTCGGGAGCCCCGGGCATTTGGTAGTTTGTTCCCCTAATGTCAATTGGTACTTTGGATGTAACTTGAATATAATGTGTGTTTTGCGCGGCGTTCGGTTAGTTATGCTGGGATCTGAGCGGTATTCTCATGAACTGTACGCCCAGACCCCAGCTATCTACCGAACGTCCATTCATTTAAATAGAGTGAATAATGTGAAAGTTATAGATTTTTATGTGAAATATTGGTTCTGCTGCACGGAGGGATAATCCACTTAACTGTATATTCTAGTGGGAGTATCCCTCTCGTCCAGCAGTGCATGATGGGGAAAATGTCCAGGTTGTTAAGTCCCCCATGTAGTCCCCTACTGTATAACCCCTGCAATGTCAGTAGGGAAACCCCTTGCATGGGGACTTGCATACATACTGTGACCTGTGAATAAAACCTCAGTTGACTCCCAGCCTATGTGTCATCTAGTTCTTGGGAGGGAAGGATTCTTACAACGCTACTGGGATTATTGTATGCTGTATTCATTTACCTGGGTTATTTTATGCTGTTCCTGTTACCCAGTGGAGATACTGTGGATTATACTACCTCTCCGCTAAACCCATAAAGCTTTAACATTTTAAAAGTTCCACAAGTATCCACTTGATATTCTGAATTTGTAAAGGTTTTATCCTTGGAACCCCCTGGTATGAATGTAGTACATTTATATGTAAAGTGAATCATTATGTATTTGTGTTTGAGTGATTGAATATTTAAATGTAAATTTATATAAATTGTATGTGTTAAATAATTTAAATAAAGAAATATTGAAATAAAAAATAAAATAAAAAACATTTAAGCAACTGTGGGTAAAATGAGAGTTCACAAGCAATAAACTACCTATAAACCGTATGTATAATTTTTTTTTAAAATGTATACTTATGTGAACATGTTTAATCTCGATATGTATACTATAAAATCAGGCGCTTGTTTTATAATATTTCTTAAAACACTTCTGAATTCACAAGGTATTAGGACCTTCTGCACGCCGATTTATAAGCATGTTACTGCACGTTTTAGCAATTTGGATCTCGTGATATACCCATAAACACTCTATTATTACTGTGGATCTCTGTGTACCCGCAAAACAGAATTCTGTAATATCACTACCTGTGATAAATCACTTATTCTACACATGACTGTCAGTTTTATTGTATTTAAGGGTTGTGATACATCCACATACATTACTTTTAAGTTAAATTTCTGTGGAAATACAAGAAGAGTTACCCATCTAACATGACTTTGTATTTCACAGATCTGTTGATATTATGACCTTTAACTTTCTTTTCATTTAGGACCATATCTATATTTTGCGCTGGAGTACCTGAGTGGTGGGGAGCTTTTTGACTACCTCGTGGAGAATGGAAGGCTGGATCTCCCAACCACAATGTAAGACAGATAGTGTTTGAAAGAAACAGGGCACTAGGACAGACTGAAATATTAGAAGGCACAATAAACAGGGCACTAGGGCAGACTGAAATATTAGAAGGCACAAAGAATTTTTAACAAAAAGAGGCTCCAGATAAATAAATATACAAGGAGGTGTTAAAAAAGGAGGTAATGAAAAAGGGACCTAATAAAGGTGACCAAATAGACTCTTGATTTTAAAGTTTTATCTGAGCACCCTGTCCCATCCAAGCCTTCATTTTATCATCATTGTTCTGAAACACATACTGGGAACTATAGTGGTACATTCTCCTAGCTGGGGAACAACAATACCAATATATCAACTTTTTAAAAGGAACATTCTGCACAACATAGCCACTACTGCTTATTGTAGAATGCTTAGTGTCTGTGGCTGGCACCCTTCCAGCCCTCAGAGACTATCAGGGTTAATCACTAAAGTCAGAATGGCCCTGTACCAAATGGGGCCATTCGGACTGCAAAATCCAGACATCGTTGCTTAAATTAAATTTACCAATGACTGAAAATTGTAAATCAGGCACCGAACGGACCTGAATTTGGTCTGGATTTTAGCTGTACCAAATGTCTGAAATCCTGACAAAATGAAATAAATCTAAGCAGCGGAGTCCCTTCGTTTAATACAAGTGATTAAAATTTCTATTGAAAATTTATTGAAAAGTAACAAGGTTTTTAAATGCAGGGCAGTATTAGAACCGTGTGCTTATCCCATCGTGTCCTAGTAATCTTTTGATTACTAGATTGATGTTTCTCTATAATAAATTATACTGTTTAACCAAGTTTTTTAACCATCAATCATTTTTCATCAGATTATTCGCAGCACAGATAGTTTGTGGCCTGTAATTCCTCCATGCAAACTGCATTATTCACCGGTAATTAACAGTGCTCCTACATTATTATTTACAAAGTGATTTCTGCTTCCCACTTATCTATATAATCTAGCTGTAATCTTTTCTGTGCTTTGCAATTGAGTTTAGATTAAAGGCACGCGATAGGCACCCAAACCACTTCATCTTATTGAAGTGGTCTGATTTCAGTATCCCTGTCCCCCTTAGTCATGCAATGTATATCATTGCAGTTTTAGAGTACTAAGTTTGCCTCTATTGGCAGTCTACTAGACATCCACTAGAGGGACCTCTGAGGGTTTTACAGAGTTTGACATCGTAAAATGATGCTGGACATCTTCACACTCTGTATAAGGATGTCCATTAGAAAAAAAGCCATAGGAAAGCATTGAGGCAAGGGTTACCTATGAGGGAAAACCTAATGTGTATGTGCAGCGCTCACCTCCCCATTGGATAAAGTTGGAAGGATTCTTGGTGCTTTAATCGGGTAAGTGAATAAAGGATTATTTAACACTTTAAAATGCTGGGAGTGAGCCACTGGGTTAGATGAACACGTTAGTGTTAGGATGACATGTTTGTATTCCTGACGCTAAAGTGATCCTTTAATTAAACAACTGAAGAGCCGTTAGATCTATGGTAAAGGCAGGAGGCTCTCCAGCTGCAGCGGGGCTAGAAGTCTCACTATGTTCCAGGGCCATCTTGAAAGAGTTACGTGTGTTGCTGGATAAGCATCATAGGAGCTGTAGTTTCATAATAACTGGATACCCACATGTGTGATCTGGTACACATGAGATTATTTGAAATCTCAATGCTTGCAGCCTATTGTATGATAGTACTGATTTCCATGTGTATTTTTGTGATACTTTTCACCGTCACTGACAAGTTGAACTGTGTCTATGGCAATATAGATATATACAAAAACCAAAACAAACATAAAACATGTTCCACTTGCACAGTGGACCTATAGCTAAAGCAAGGCAAAAACTCATATCCTCATTCACTTATTTATCCCTATCATTAACCTCTTCACCACCACCAATACATATATACATGGGCTTGCTTTCATTTTACATTAAATAAAGCCACACGTGTGAAAAATTACAGCCAGACCTGGAATGAGAATAAAAGAAGCAATGAATTTAATAAAAAAAAAAAAAAAATTATTATTATTGTCGATGTACAGTGATACATTTACAGATATTAACAAAGTAGCTGTGTATTTGACAGTCTCAAACTGGCTGATATACACAAAAAATAGCACCCCAGACAAGAAAATGTAAATATCTGACAGAATATCATACATATTGTAGGCTGCATATTTTAAATTATAGTAGACGATTAACTAAAAATATAGCTACTCGAGATATAGCTTAAAGGAAAAGAACAACATATAGCTACAACTCTGCTTATGCAGGAAAATACCACTGGATGTTTGGTGATAGGCCCCAACATGAATAAAGGATTACTCCAACTACCATGACCACTTCTGCTTTCTGAAGCATTCATGGTGGTAGGTGTCTGAATGTGCAGGGTTTCAGCTTGAAGCACATCCTGAATAATTTGCATTTGTATGCTGCGGCAAGATGCACCCCCTGCACACATGACATTGGCATCCCAGAACTCTATTCCACTTCTCTGCATATTTTAAATCTCAGCACGTAGTTCCCGCTGGCGACAGACGTAATGTGGTTATAGTTTGATTGTGTCCCATCCCAGAAGCCTTACCACCTCCAGATGGCATCAATTCATTATTTTTTTTATTCCCTCCCTTACTTCCTCCTTCAAAACCTCTTCTTGCTGGCTCAAATTGGGCGCATGCACACATGGAAATCAGTACTATCATACAATAGCTAAATGGTCCAATCAAATGCTTCTCTATACAGATGAGTAAAACATATTTTAAATCTATTTAACCAGCAATAGAGGGAGGACATACAGAATAATACCCAATAGGGCTGACGACATGTTTACCAGCGGCCTTAGCTCTATACATTGTGAGGAGTCACTGCCTGTTGTCGCTCCTCGAAGCGCCAGCCATTACTGGTGCCCAAGCACACATTAGCTGTCCCCAGGCTAAATAGAGTTACCAGAAAATTTCCCACTGTGCCAGTTTAGCCCTGAATAAACCCCAGCTAACCTTCATCATTGTTCCTGTCTTTTTACTGGGGTTTGGTCAGTATATCTACCTTTTGCACTGTAAAATGATGGAAGGCATCTTCTATAGAGACAAACAGAGCTCTGATTCTTTCTTTTTACAGTGTTATAAAACCAGAAAACATCTTAATGGACGGAGCAGGCCATCTGAAGATCTGTGATTTTGGGCTTGCATTGGAGAATATGTGTATAAAAACAGCAATTGGAGAAGCAGGCACACTGTGCTACATCGCTCCTGAGGTGAGGGACTGACCACAGCTAGTGTGAGTTAATCTTTAAATTACATGATCATTGTGACAAAGTGCCCTTCGCCACTTGTGCCTGGAGAGTACTAATTGCCAGCCTCCTGCCCTGCGACTATGGCCCCTGGGAGATTTTGCTCTTTAAAAACGTTATTTGGGCATATTGGATTTTATTGTACTCGGTCTGCCCCTTTAAATTATATTGGAGCAGCCTGCAGCTTTAAATTGTGAAAAAAAAACCCTGTTTTATTCCCCCCTCCACCCCCCTCCTAGAACACCAGTTAAACCCTTAATATCTTGTTACATTCAAACTCTGTCTGACCTTATAACTGTCATATATTCAAACACTGACTGAACTTAAAGGACCACTATAGGCACCCAGACCACTTCAGCTTAATGAAGTGGTCTGGGTGCCAGGTCCAGTTAGGTTTAACCCTTTTTGCTGTAAACATAGCAGTTTTAGAGAAACTGCTATGTTTACCTATGGGTTAATCCAGCCTCTAGTGGCTGTCTCATTGACAGCCGCTAGAGGCGCTTCTGCGCTTCTCACTGTGATTGTCAGTGACGGTGAAAAGTATCACAAATATGCACATGGAAATCAGTACTATCATACAATAGGCTGCAAGCATTGAGATTTCAAATAATCTCATGTGTACCAGATCACACATGTGGATATCCAGTTATTATGAAACTACAGCTCCTATGATGCTTATCCAGCAACAGTGAGAAGACGCCAGCGTCCATAGGAAAGCATTGAGAATGCTTTCCCATGGACTGGCTGAATGCGTGCGCAGCTCTTGCCTCACATGCGCATTCCGCCAGGGACGTCAGAAGAGGGAGGAGAGTCCCCAGCCCCGAGGGAGCTCAGCGCTGGAAAAAAAGTAAGGGATTAACCCCTTCCTCCCCCTTTAGCGCCACGGGAGTGGGACCCTGAGGGTGAGGGCACCCTCAGGGCACTATAGTGCCAGGAAAACGAGTATGTTTTCCTGGCACTATAGCGGTCCTTTAACTGTCATTTTGTTTTCTTCTGAGGAGGAGTTGTTTTGCTGCATGAGTGCTGTTGCTTTTGTGTGCTCATTTAACAGACCTGCTTGACCCTTTCTTGAAGCCTTGGCTCATGGTTGGGGGATGGGATAAGTCTGCAGTGCTGATGGTGTCGGTTGGAGTGCATGGAGTCCTCGGCAAGCACTAGGAGCATCGATTGGCGGAGGTACTCGGTCGGAGTGCCAGCAGGTCCGTCACAATCATCAACCACATTCTAACTATTAAGTCAAGAGGAAGACAAATTCACCTTCAGTTGTGTATAGATCTAGTTGACAGCAAATGTACTGATATAATTAAATTTCATTCTTGAAGGTGCTTCCACTTTGCATAAAAATATCTAAAAATAAAGTGAAACTGCAAAACCAAGATGCTTCTTCCAAAACAGGTAAAAAATAAATAAAACAAGTAAAGGTGGAGGAAGACGGAGCGAACATCAACGTAGATGTTATGCGTGCTGTATATGCTTTGAGACTCTCGACTACAATGACTTGAGTTGTGGCACTCTAACCCTGTTGATCAAGACAGTTTCCCACTTCCACTGTCTCCAGGCTACAGCTATTAAAATGGATAATTAGATTTCAAGAGATCCCAGAAGGAGATCCCTAGATTGGGAAATAGATACTATTTGGTAACAGAGTAATTCACTTTGTTACTTATTCAGTAGTTTATTAGGCTTTGTTTATGTGTTGCCAAAATGAAAACTGACCTTCTACTGAATAAGTACCAAAGTGGATTAATTACTCTGTTGCCGTATCTATTTCCCTTCATTCTATCACAGCTGCATTCACTCTTTGGACTGTAAAGTGTTACTTATAAATACCAATCTAGGTTTAAATCCCTACAGACGAAGATAAATAAATTTATATGGGCAAATAAAAGGGCGAGAATCAAACGCCAAACAATGCATGTCCCAACTAAAGCAGAAGGTCTTGGATACCAATCTTTAATCACTACTACCATGCCGCTCAACTAGCTCAAGTCCAGAACCTCCAAGCGCCCTACGGCATCAAGAGATGGGTGGACCTGGAACACACCATCTTTGGCAGAGACTTCCCGTCCTTTTATATTTGGCTACTTCCCCTCACCTCCCCGGCGGTCACAACATCAATTAGGACATAGGACAAATTAACAATCAACTCCAAACTCACGTCTGACCCCTCACCACTCATGCCAATCCTGCGGAACGCGCAATTCACCCCAGGCATGCACCCTAAAGACCACTTTGAGGACAATGACCTCACTAGACTCTACTTCTTTGCCAACCATTCTATCACAGCTGCATTCACTCTTTGGACTGTAAAGTGTTACTTATAAATACCAATCTAGGTTTAAATCCCTACAGACGAAGATAAATAAATTTATATGGGCAAATAAAAGGGCGAGAATCAAACGCCAAACAATGCATGTCCCAACTAAAGCAGGAGGTCTTGGATACCAATCTTTAATCACTACTACCATGCCGCTCAAGTCCAGAACCTTTCCTGGACCTCCCACGACCCAACTCACTTACAACCCTTGATCTTTTTCGCCACATTCAAATCGAAAGCTTTCTCAGTACCCTTATAAACAGCAGAGCAGGCACCATCCCTCTAACGCCATTCGAAAGGGCCTGTATGCACCACCCTACCCAAAAAGGACAAATATCTATGCTTTACGTGCTAATCACCCATAACCTACAAGACGGCACCCTCTCATACATGGCGGCTTGGGAGATGGACTTGGGACCGATAGGGGACCCTAGAGACTGGAACGACATCAGGGAAGCCACCGCAAAGATCACCATTTGCGTCAATCATAAGGAACAAGCGTATAAGATGCTCATGAGATGGTATGTCACCCCTCTACGATTAAAGCAGATGAGCAGGACAGACACAGACAGGTGCTGGAAAGGATGCAGGAACAAGGGAACATACATACATCTTTGGTGGGAATGCGAACACGTAGCACACGTATGGCGCCAAGTATCACAAATGACCTCCTGGGTACTACACGCAGTAATCCCAATGTACCACTGGACATGGCAACTATATAAACCCCTCCATAATACTCCACAAGCACAAAACAAACTCATCATCAAAATAGCCCTGGTGACAAGACGTGCGAGAGCTGAAAAATGGGGAAGCCCGGACACACCTAGCCTGGACACCATTAAACTTAAAATAAACGATACCATAAATACCAATCTAGGGATCTCTTTCTGTGATCTCTTGAAATCTAATCATTCTAAGTTAATTAGGGTTAAGCCTTAGGGTGGAATTGGTACCACCAATGCTGACCAACCCTTACTAGTAATATAGACTGGATAATAAGTTTTCTAGTAATTTGATAATTAAAGGGATATCCTTGACCTTATGAAGAACATCTGTACTTTCTTTAACCCTGACTTAGCCGTACTTTTTAGCCCTATCTGATCTTAGCCCTATCTGATCAGGCCAACAGGCCTTCAAGGTACAACATACCTCTCACTTCCAACAGTCACTTGGGTCTTTGCAAGCTAGAATTGATTGCCTAGATGACGCCAGCAGGCATAAGAATATAAATGTCAGAGGAAGTCACTCTCTTTGACGCTTGTTTACTTTCCTCCTGTCGTGGAGATCCTCCCTATCCTCGATTACCATGTGGTTACGGGACTCAAACATCCGATAAAAATAGGAAACAAACCCAAATAGACAATGCCAATGAGGCTCAAAACAACCTGTCACACGGGGATAACTCGGCGGCATTCCTACAAGCTTATGGGCTGCACCAAGGTTTCCGGGTTTGTAATAAAGCTGCCTGTTTCACACAATTGGGCCCCCTTCCATCCATCCGTTTGTTCCACTGGAAGCTGGTAGACTTGTACAAGTATGACATTATTTGGTGGGGGGGCTCCTCCTTTTGCTTAATTTTATGTTTATTGTATGTTATTAATTTTTTATTTGGTAGCTTATATCTAGTGTGCTAGACTTATACCATTAGTTTAGCACTATTTTTCTGTGGAGTATATTGTGAGAGTGCCCACCCAACAAACCTCCCCCCTGCTCTGGGTTTAACAAGCATTTTAATTCACTACTGTGACCCACCCAAGGCTTCTCGAGTTGATAATACCAGGTCCCTGGGATATCCCAGACCCCTATTAATTTCCACCAGGGCACAGTTTGGTACTTTTTCCTTTTCGATATGGCACCCTCTTTAGTGTCTGTCTGTTTAACAAGGATTCCCATGGGTTATGTAATACATCTTTTTACAAAGGCATGTTTCGTGCTGTTCCAGTTATTTAATTTAAACTATATGTCTGTGCATTTAAAATCTTTGTATGGATGTCCTTTATACACAATGTTGTAACAAATGATGTCTGTTCCATGCATTCTATGTTGCCTCTGTTTTCCTTTATATCCACTCAATTAAAAAAAAAACTTGATTGACAAAAAAGAAAAAGTTGACAACCCTGGTATAGTAAATCATGCATTACATGGTCAATTTTTTGAGGAGACTTTTAAGGAACACTCCAAACAGATAAAGCACTTCAGCTTCCTGAAAACATTTCGGTTGGAAGAATGTGTTCATTTTTCATTTTAGATAAGTGCCAATTGTAACAGAATTTGGCACTTTTATAAATGAACTCTGTTACACATACCTGTTAATCATACACACTGGAACCAAGGTTTCCCATTGAGAAACGTCTGATGGGGAATTCAAATGAAGGCAATGGATTGCACGAGCCTCCGATACTAGATCTGCAGCTATTGCTAGCTAAGGTTTCACATACTGTCAATGAAAATATGCAAAAAGTATTTCTCTTTGGTAGTATGTCTGCTAAATTGTTATTAATTTTAACTTTTATGGAGTGTTTCCTTAAGTTTTTAAAAGCTGAAAAAAGGAAAAATAAACTGTGACAATGTTGATTAAATATGTTCTGCATGAAATGTTATTCCATTTTATAGAAAAGCCATGATTGTTAATATTAGTATTGCAGATATGTGTAAACATTATTTCCAGTATTGATGGCTAGTCTTTAGTTTTGCTGAAAATCATGGGAAATGTAATCTATGGAATTTAAGAATGACAGAGTTAGACATTATTGATACAGAACCATTCTATATATAACATCTTACATAATATTTTTCCCAAACTAGATCTGTGTGGGCAGCCTGCTGAGTAACATCTCTCTGATGTTATTTATTTTGTAGATGTCGAGAGCTATAATGCTGCCGTGGATTGGTGGACATTTGAAGTAATTATTTTCAAGATGGCCAGAGGAACGTCTCCGTTTTATCATGACAACTGATTAACACCTATGGGCGAATTATTGCTTACGAAATCTTCATATTACCTTAATTTTGTAAGCATGATCCTAAAACAGGTGTTTATTACAAATATATGAAAGGTTTATCAGGTCAATACAGTTTAGTAGCTGACAATGTCCATAAAAACTTAAATAAAACTAAACATAACACTATAGCATTAAGAATACAAACATGTATTTCTAACATAGTGTCAGGATACACTATTATGCCCAACACGCAGAACTTAAGTAACAAAAAAGGAAACCCGAAGATTTAATGTATAAAAGGAAAAACACAAGACAGGCTGAGGTCAAGAATACAGAAATAGCGTAAACATACATCATCACAGCCCTCATCATCCTTCCAGATCCAGCATATATCCCTAGGTGGGGATTGTTCCACCTCAAGATCTTCATACCAGAGCAGGACATTGCCCTGGGTGACATAAGTAGGATATTTTCCTCCATCAATACCAGTTGTTTATATATATATTATACCATTGGATTTCCTGTTTTGTCTTTTTTAATATATACCTACTCCATCCTGAAAACAAGCTAGAAAGACCCTCAACTTATATCAATAGACGGGGATTATTCCATCCAGGCCTTCATAATAGAGCTGAGACAGCTCTAAAAAGCGTGAGTGAGCACTTTTGCCCATTTGTACTCCCTTCACAAACATCTACTGTACTGCTCCATAATCTGTTTCTTGCTTTGTACTTATAGATTCATATACTAAGAATATCATCTGTATCGTATGTATATATAATCTTAAGCACTGATCACCTCCTGTCTGTTATCTTTACATTCACATAACACCTGAAAAATAAGTAAAATAGAGAGAAGATTTGGGTGGAATTATTTGGCAAACCGTTAAGATCTCACAAGCATAATGTGAAAACAAATGGCAAAAACATGTTGTGATAAGTCAAGGCACGTCCTCTTTGTAAAGAGGATGTAAGCACACACTAAATGTACCAATACTTGTATTAGAATATGGCCTTGAGCAAACGTTTAGCATGAGAATTCAAGAGAAGATTTTTAATTTTTTTTTATGACTTTTATGAGGTTTGTTAATAACTGTTATAAATTACTTGCCTGATTATTTTGAATTCAGTGATTAAACTGATGGGAAAGTTTATAACCGTCACAATACTGTTTCTCTTTAGAGCTCCTGTGCATGTCACCGGCCAAGCGTTTGGGGGTAAACGGTGATATTCGTTCCTACCCGTTCTTTCAATCCATTGACTGGGTGGCGCTGGAGGCCGGCAGATTAGATCCACCTCCCCTTAGTAACTGACGTAAGTACACTGGCCATTGTAACTGTGACTGGGTAAAAATATAGTGATTTGACACAACATTTTATAAAAAACAAAAAAATATGTAAGGAAACATATTTCCTTTCATTAAAGAGTTACTATAACCACCATGACCATTTCATTTATTGGAAGTGGTCATGGTGGTAGGAATGTGTATGTGCAGCGTTTCTGCTTGAACCTCGCCACGGGTAATGTAGGGTAATATGCACTTATGTTGAACCCTGTTCTGTACTGCCTAATATTAATTCTGTGCATAATATGCGTCCATCATCAGCATGCACTGCATGAAGCGTGGATGTCCCCTCCCTCCTTTATTAATTTGAGCCCTCTTCGCCTCACAGTGCTCACTTTATTTTTAAGTCTAATTCCTAATCTCCATCCCACTCCTTCCATCCCTCCACTCATCCCTCCCATCACTGGTACAGATTGCATGCATTCGCTCTTAGACATTATACAGTACCTATAAGAAGCCTGTGAGTGGATCATGCAAGTCACTTAGGTGATGTTGGGTGGAAGAGAGCACCAGGAGATTTGCTCGGTATTGGTATACAGCAGATGAGCAAAACTTATTTTTGCAGGTTTACAGCACAAAGTAGCAGGGGGCCTAAGTAATAGTGCTCAATTGGGAATATTCAATTTAAAAAAATACACCCCTCTCCTCCCCCAAGGGCTGCAGTAAAACATTAATGTGTATTTGTGGTCATTTAGCCCAAAATAATACCACTATACTGTAACATATGTTTTAACTGATTCATTTAATCAGTTTTCCCAAATGGTTAGATAGAAGGCTTAGGTATATTACAAGAAGTTTGTAAAAAAAATAAATAAAACAAAATAGACGAGCCAGTTAGAGCAGCATTTGTGTTTTCACCAGTAGCCACCGCAGGACCGTCCTTTACCATCTGTGATACAGGAGAATCCCGTGTCTTCATCAGAGGCCCACAAGACACCTATTGGCTCAGAAGATCAAAAATAGTTTTAAGGGTTTTCGTTTATTAACCCACAGTGGAACTCCTTGCCCTAATCTACAGCAGTCTCTAAAAAAGCATTAACATCTGCTTTCCTTCACTCATATAAAGGTAGACTTTATGGTAAAGTATGTATTATTGGTTGTAAATGGGGAAGATTGTTAAGTGAATTAGTTACGTTATATTTGTGGGCTATCGTTGGTACATTTTGCGTTAAGTTTAAAGTTAAAAAAAACACAAACAGTATAGATATCTAGTATAGTATATGTAGATATATAAATATGTCGTAATACATTTTTAAATAATTTTATTGTATATTAAAATGCATATTTTACAAGTATGAGGGACACCCCTAGGTCCTTGTGTGTTAATTAAGCTTATTTTAAGTTTAAAGTTACAAAAAAAAAAAAACAGAATGTATAAGTGTTATAGTGTTATAAGTGTTTTATGTAATGTTTATGGAATTTGGTATGCAGCCTTGATGTCTATTTTTATGTTCTCCACACCCACTGGTCCATTGGATGGAAATAAATACGAGGGGCCTGCTGAATGGTCCGTCTATCCAGCTTACCCGTTGGTGGTGGGTGAGGATTTGATAATCTTCTGTTAGCCACAAATCAGATCGATATAAAATATAGCCCAATATCCACATTCACCTGGAAACTTTCCTTCACAGTCACAGGTCCAACAGTTTGGCCAAAATATTAAACTAAAGAACTCTTGTTTAATTTAAGTTAGATGTCTAGATGTAGTTGTAAAACAGCTTAAAGTGAACCTGTAGGCAACCTTTCAGTAGTACTGTGACAAAATAAAATGTGACAGTTGGGAGAAAGGCCTATTTTTAAATAGATTTTTCTCCAAAACTATACATTTGCTTGCAAAAGTGCTAGCACAATAAATAGATGAACTGGAATGCTCTTCCTAAAGAGCATAAATAAAAATTCCACTACAGTTATCCTTAAAATTTTCATTTACAATTTATACGCAAAGTTTTAAAACAAATAAGAAAAAACTTCAGTACACGTTGTTTATTTAGTAATATGATGTGGTCCTAGGATAAAGGAGATATGCACATTTGCAGGACTGTAACTGGTATTAATTCATTAACATTAGTCTGATTCAATTGCACCAGCAGATGTCCTCAATTCTAAATTTCCTTAGCATTTCCTGTTAGTAGGGGGTGCTGGGAATAGGTTGATTAGTGATGGTAGGTTAGTGTAGGTCCTGCTCATAGAGTTTACCTTGACGTGGTGGCCAAAATGTTACATCATTTATTCAAGAGTAAATTAAATGCAGAATCTGAAACCCACTAAGGTTTAAATTCAAATGACTTGCTTTATGCTAAATTCTTACACTCGGCGAAATGCTTCTCATGGATGATGGATAAGATGGCCAGGCAATAGAATGTCATATATCAGCCATGGTCTGACTCAACGCTCAGGAACCACTGCTAATGTCAGGAGAAGAGACAAAGACAGGAAGCTTCATCGGATTTACACGGGGCTGTACACACAGTACTTTATTGGTAGCAAATTAAAAATGCACTTTTATTGTTATTCATTAATGAAACACACCCTGGCTGTTTCTCACCTGCTTCAGTTAGCTCCCCTGAGCTAACGGAAGTGGCAGTTGCGCTCTACATCATCTTCCATTAATGACTGACTCCACGGTTTCCAGATATTTAAATGGCGTTTTGTAAATTGCCATAGGTTATGATGAAGTATGATGTTTTGTTCCATTTATTTATCTATAAGTGTATTTATTGTAAGGACCTTTAATAAATGCTACAGCCTTAGCCCACTTGATTTGTGTTTGTGAATTATTGCGTAGTGATTGCGCTGTCCCAGATCATGTGATCATTGTGACAGCTAATGACAGTGATCACAGTGCTGGTGGGAGTTGTGAAGAGAGATGGATTGGATAGTTAATTTGTTTGTGGGAGAGTTAACATTTATCAGTGAATTTTAAAGACGTTTGCTACCTCAATACCAGATTTTAACCCTTTCCCTGAACTTTGATTACTGCTTGCAGTGAACAGAATTCAGATCATGGTACTTTAAGGTTTTTTTTTTCCCTTTGGGATTAACTTTGATTATATATTTTTTAACCTTTGGGATAACATTTATTTTATTAATTGTAGTTTAATGATTTCTTTAACTGTGGTGGGTGGAAATTAGTGGGGAACTGGGGAATGTAGTTAGGTTAAATTAGGGGTTAAAAGACAAAAAGCTTTCAGGTTGTTTAGTTGTAGTTAAAGTTCAGTCTGAAAATGCTTAGAAAGTTGAGGCTAACGAGACTTCTACAATTTTAACTGCTGATTCAAAGGAGACTGATAGCGCCACAGAGAGAGACGCAGGTGACAACAAATATGTCCCTGAGCTAGAAGGAACTGCTGATTCTCCTGACTGATACCACCAATAATTTTACTACTGACTTCCCTATCTTCACAGGTATACAGTCTGACGTGTCCATCTATGGGCGAGTGGAGTTTATGCAGTTGTTCCTGGGGGATGATATTTTAGGGAAGGTTATTGCGTAAACCAATCTGTATGCTGAGCAGTATCTTGCCCAGAACCCTACTTCATTAACTGCAAGGAAAGCGGCACGGTATCCCACCAGTGTTCCGAAATTAAAAAAATTCTGGATGTACACATTGTTAACGGGATCATATTATTTGCTTGTATTGGACAAAGAATCCTATTTGCTGTACCACTATTTTTTCCACAAACTACGAATACACAAAGAAATGAGACATGCTGTTTATGCATTTTAACAATAGCGAGTGCCTACAAAGAATTAGTCTGTTTAAAATTTGCCACCCTAATTTTCAACTTGAATCAGAAGTTTAAAAGCCTGTATGTCCCCTAAAAAACATCTGTATAGACGAGACACTAATGAAATAAGGGAAACAAGTGCGTGTTTTCCTTATTGTGCTATGTAGAATTTTGCATCAAGCCACAGTTTCAACATGGAGTATTTTTAATGGTCGGATACTGTTATAATAATTGTCTATGTACAGGTGATGCCCTTTATTTAATAATGTCCCATAAAATGTTCACACTTTTCCATAAGTTCTGGGCAACTTGGGTGATACCAGTGGCTGTCCTTCAACCTCATATATGGCAAAGATATATATATCTCCACTACCACTTTCGCAGAGTTTATACAGCTCCACACTGTATCTAGCCCTTTTAGATAGTATAAACTGCTTGAATCACAGACTGTGATCACAAACGAGACTTGAAAGGGACACAAAAGAGACTTGAAAGGGGTAAATCAGCTGCTCTCTGCCAAAACAAACTTCTAATAATGAAGTAAAAGGACAAGAAGGAAGTGTACATGCTGACCTCCATCCATGAGCATAGTCACAGGGTTGCAGTCGGTGGCAGAGGGGAAACCAAGCGAGTGCTAGTCTGCATTATAACAGGCGCATGGGGGGAGTGAACCTGACAAATCAATTAATGCGGCTGAACCTGATCATGAGCAAAGCACAGGCATGGTATAAAAAAGTGGGCATTTATTAGATGCAGATGGCAACCCACAATCCTGTACCATGAGGCACTGCTGAACTGAGATGAACATTCTTAACATTTCAGCTTATTCTAGGGCTCCTGGCAGAGTGCCAAAGTGATTTGGTCAAGAGTAGTTGGAGTTGGAGTAGTTCTATCAGCTCAGAAAGGCTCTGTGTCGTGTTCTGATATAGCTATGTGGGAATGGAGATTTGGAGGTGTCAGTTTAAGACTGCTTTTATATTGTGTCTATCCGTGTTTCCTAGGAGGGACACAGAGTGTGTAGTTGCGTGCACATGAATGTGTTTTCTGTATTGGCATATCTGCTGGGTATCCATTATGTGTTTCTACTACTTCTGTTTTGTGAGATAGATGACGTGTAATATTACATTGGATGCTGAGTATGAGTTATATGGTTTGAAATGAATTGGTGTGTTATGTGTTTTATGTATTTTATTGTCCATTGTGTAGGAGTTTAACTAGCATAGTGATTTGCATATCATTAACGCAATCATTTAGTGTTTTTACAAAAGGTGAAATGCTGTCCAGCCAGCTAGAATGAAACAATTGTATGCTATCGCACCTGGAGCAAGAAAAGCGCTTGTTACATCTCCCGTGAAAGGGGCCCCGCAAACTTCTGCTGTTCAAATCGTGGATCCACGTTTCCATTTGTAAATTGATTAATCCTGAAAGTCATTCGTTTACTGATAAAAAGGATTGAATGGACAAGATGTCTCTCCCTCATAAAGGAGTTCTAATAGGGGAGTATTGTCCAGCTCAGAGTTAACTCTACTTTTAAAGTATATTGCATTGTTTGTGTCAAAGTAAGATTCATCTAGTATGCCTTATTGATTATGGGGTAATAATAAAATGGTATTTTTATTAGAGATTAGACAATTTCTGAAATTAATAAGTGAGGTAATCTTAATCACCTAAACTACTGTATTATATTTGTATGGGTAAATTGAAAGCATTTTGCAGATCCAGAAGAGGATTAATAAATAATATAATAATCTCACTAGGTGCCAAATTATGCAAAGAGGCTATCCAAAGTACACACTAACGGGTTAAACTAGTTTTCTTGATAAGCGTAAAACATTTAGTTTTGTGGTTAGACTTTTGATACTCAATTTGAAATATATCGCAACTACATCCTTGCACGGCCCCAGGTACAGGAAGCAATATGTGTTTTAAAAATTTGCAAAGTCTTAGTGTTTTCAATATATTATAACAATGGAAAAGTACCTAACCGCATGTCTGCATTACGCTCATGACACAGACTGTCAGTATTGCAAGCCCTATATGAAGGCTATGCTTTCATTGTCGATGTATATGCCCCTAGACAACCTTGGTTTATATACACAATTTAACTATCCATTAAACGTTTAAAAGCTTATTAATATTATATCTGTGTGGTACACAAAGAGGGGATGTGAATTCGGTAATCCCGACCATATGGAATATGCTTCCTCCTTGTTCACTTTTGTTCCTTGCTGGTCTGTGACTGGCCCTTTATGACCCTAAATGAATTTCTTGGGAAGATTCATGAGAAAGATACAGCAGGTTGTTTTGATAGAAAGAAAGAAGGAAAAGGTATGTTGTATCAGTCACAAGGACTGTGATCCTAAGCAGGCGAGACAAAGAAATTTGGGAGGTGATAGGAGATTGAATCAGAAAAGTTTTAAAGGCAAAGGTAGAGGATTTGGTCAAAGGTTCTAACTTTTGTAGAGGTAGCAACTTCAGCATTGGTGGAACACACAGTTCTAATTGTGGATAGCAGGGTCACTGGAAAAACGAGTGCCCAAACCCACCCCCACAGATTCCTCAATACCAACCACAGCTTCCAAAATACACCCACACCCAACAACCCCAGCCTAATACACAGATGGTTCATGTTTTTAATATTTTATATAGTTTTAGGTGTTAATCCAAGAGTATTGAATTATTCAGGATTATTAAAGTAATTCATTTTGAGTATCAAATCAAGGTTCAAGTTTAGGAACAGAGTTTTATTGGGAATTATCCCCATATGTATATGTTAGTGTTTTAATACTCATCCTGTCTAACAAGCATTTCTATAGAGTGAGTGCTTCTTTCATCCATACAAAGGAATTCCAAAGGGATATTATGTAAAACTTTATAGAAGACAGATTGCATAAAATATAAGCAAATATAAGTACAAGTACATGTTACACAAGTTAAGGGTTTAACCTTAATCTCTAATCTCTAATTTAAATTTTAGCCTAGGTGATGTTGTATTGATCCTTGTGTTTGTATAATTGCAGAGCCTGGACCTGAGCTTCTGCCCCAAAAACTTCCGCAGAGACCTTTGCAATGGAGTTGCTGAAATCTTCTATTGGTATTACCCAGAAGATATCACATTACATTCCTACGAAAATGGAACTTCCCTGGCTACCAAATTAAGCAACTGGTCCCAGTTAGAAAAGTTTCTCTTGAAAAGAAACTTGAATATTTCCAAAGAATTAATTGATGGAACTATGCATTGCAAACCTGGTGCAGCAGAATTATTACTACAAGATATTTATGTAATGCTAACTAAAAATATGAATCAAAACCGTACAGGAGAATGAAGTAGACTTTATGGACTGGTATTATCAAGAGGGTTTACCTGTGGTTGCAAGGTCAACAGCTACAAAAAAGCTGTGAAGGGCAATATTACTCTAAGTGAAGTTCTCGCAGAACCTGATCTCAGCATAAATAAGCAGAAAATTCAAGCTCTGATGGAATTATATGTGCAACACAGGCAGCAGCAAAGGATTCTTGATCCGAAACGATTAAATTTAAAACCAACAATGGGAGAACGTCCCATTCATCTTCCACCGTCATCTGAACAAATGGAAGATGAATATAAGCTGTCGAAAAGATCCTCCTCTTCTACTTCAAGTACTTCAGATATCCAAAGCAAAACCAATGTTCAGTTCAAAGAAATTAAAGTCAAACAAGCCGATAGAAGCTTTGTATTATCAAGCGTAACCTCACTGGTATCTTCTTCATCGTGAAGTTGTAATAAATGCCCATAAAAATCCACACTGAAATGCAACTGTGTGTACTTGAGATTTAAATAAATGGTGTTTCTTTAAATGTGAAAATACAAAAAAAAACCAAAAAACAATAGCACATAGACCACCATGCTCAAGCCCGGACTGGCCATCAGGCATACCGGGCAAATGCCCGGTGGGCGCGATGGCCATGGGCTGAGGCCGGCAGGGGAAATCATAGGATATCCTCTGTCAGACCATTTAGAGCCGGCACTATCCGAGCACCAGCTCTGCTGTGTGCCTTCATGGGCCAGTGGGGAGATCAAAGATCTCCCTCACCGGCCCACAGGCTGTTACATACGGCTGCCAGCGGGGGAGGGAGGGAGAGAGGACCCGGTGGAGCTTTAAATTGCAGCTTCACCGGGTTCCTCTCACAAGGTCGGAGTTCCTGCAGGCTAGAGTTTACTCACCACTAGGACCACCAGGGATAGCAGCCAGTTCCCCCCTACAAGTCTTTGGAAAGAAGGGAGGGGGGATATAAAGTTTTTTGGTTTTTTTTAAATACATATTTAATATATTTAAATCTTCCCCTCCTCCCCACACACACATCACCCTCAAAAAGCACCCTCACACAAAGAGCAAACTCACACTAATAGCACCCTCAGACACACACAGCAAACTCACACAGCACCCTATAAGAATAACCCTCAGTGAGTTAACAGACAAAGAAAATTAGAAACATAGAATGTGATGGCAGATAAGAACACAATCACACACAGAGTACCACTCTTACACACACACATACACACAGCACACCCAACACACTGCGCCTCTCACACATACAATACATCCAAACACACACACATATATATATATATATATATATGTATATTACAGCACCCCTCACACTGCACCACTACAGACATTACGCTCCAGATACACGCTAGATCATCTAATCTACACGCACACACACACACACACACACACTAGATCCCTATATACACTCTGAATCCTCTACACACACACACGCTATCTCCAATACACACTCTGGGTCCATTACACACTAGATCCCCTACACACACTACATTCCTGACATACAAACTGGATCTCCTATGCACACACTACATTCCTTGTAAGCAAACACATACTACATTCCTATTCTGAATTAAGTCTATTTCCTGAACAATCTATTTTGCTTCACCTCCTATCCTAGTAGGTGAAAGGTTTACTTGAATACAACATTTAATATATCCGAATTCACAAGTTTAGTCATTTGGCAGTCTCCACTGCACAATCAACAAATAAACTCAAAGGGCAATGTCCCTGGTCCAAAATGTTATAGTTCAGGCATGAATGAATTGCAGATGGCACAGACTGTATTTCCACTGCCCTGATGCAGCCTCCATTGTGGCACTGAGGATACCGGGATCTGTTATCCTAACCTCAACCATCATTCTACCTTAGTGTAAGTAAAGAAGAGAGGTGGATAGATGTGTCTTGCTTCAGTGCCCTCGGTTATGACTATTTTTGCATTGAATTCGGAAGAGACAAGTGATTTCTCCAAGTACAGCACTTGGATTTGGACCAGAAACAACATTTGTGAAGGTGAAAATACTCAGGTTGTTGAGCAAGAATAAGCACCTCAGTAATGTATTTGTGCTAACGCTGTCGTTTGTTAATAATTCACCTTGTCAATATCCCTCGTTGTACAGTGGCTTTCTGCAGCCTGCTGGAGAGCTTTTTGCCATGTCTTCCTGCATCATTAAATCATATTCAATACCTTTGGTTCAAAGTACAGTTTCCTGCTTCTGTGTGCTTCATATCATGGCTTCACAATTTATCAGTCTGGCAGAAAATAATTACTGAAATATCTAAAGTTAAGGGCAACTTGAGAGATGGAATACCAGTGTGGAGAGAATGACAATGCATTGGTTTGCAAACATACATTTGTTTAAGAATTAATGTAAAAGTGATTATTATTTTCCTTACCTCATAACCTGAGGACTTATAAACAGAAATGCAGTAAACAAAACCATAAGTATAGCAGTCAGAAGGTGTTGCATTCCAAATGTTTTCACTATAATTTTTTAAAAGGGATTGTCTGGTCATCTGCATGCTTGGACTTTTAAGAAGAACCTCTTTCTCTTCCTTGATCTCCTGGGATATTCGATTATGATTCTCCAAAGTCACTCTGTGACCGCGTGCAACCTGGCAATTTATTAAAATCATAGGATTGTCAGAGAGACTTCAGATCACCTTTAACGGTCATAATAAAATCTGTTCTTTTCCTAGTAAAGTAATCTCAAACAAATGTTCAGAAAGGAACTTTCAGATGTTGTAGACTACATCTCCCATAACACTAGAGGCAGTCTTGTTCCTGCAATGAAATCAGTGCAGTTTTTCTAAAACTAAGGGAGACTCGTTCATTAAGCTAAAATGGTTTTGGTGCTTACAATGTCCATTTAAGATGTTCTTCCACACCTGAAAGTACTAAGTGTAATTTATGCATAGTTGAAATCACAAATTAAAAACACAGTTTTCAGCTTTTCAGTAAAAATAGTACCTGCAGGATAGTAAAGATACAAATGTAAAAAAATTACAACATTTCCCCATACCTCCCCAATATCAGAATCCTATGATGAAGGACCCCAGTTGGGTGGGTCCTACGAAGAAATACCAGGTCAGTCTGGCGTGAATGCACGGCAGCTTGCCTGACAGTCATGCAGGTTTGCCCACCTAGGAAAGACCATGTAGAGAGTACGGTTTCAGAGTCCTAATTCCCTGAGTGTAATGCAAGCAAATCACATTTTGGAGAAAGTTATCTGGTGTCCTCAAAAGCAGGACACCAAGGTACAAAGTTGGGACAGGATCTTTAAATCACGACTGTTTCCCTGTCAGCATCTTCACGTTATCTTGGATTTACGAGTTAAGCCTAATCAAGATAATGAAACTTAGCAAATGAGCGTGCTTGGGGATATCAAAATAGTCTCAATTAATACATAATCCTAAAGTATCTGTTCTTCAATACACAGAATGCAAAATATCTTACTGACAAACTCAAAAGCTAAGGGATCCAACTGCCATTTAATAAAAGTCACTATCCAAATTTAAACAGTAATGTGTTTCAAATGAAAAAAACAAAACAGAAAAAAACATGAAAGACGAGGAAAGAGGAAAAGAATTTGAGCAGGAAAATGGTGGAAGATGAATCATGAGTTTACCACTTGGGTCAAACAAGAGCAGGAAAAGCTTTTTTTAACGTAATTCTACTTCTTTTTAAAGAAAACTTCAGTTTCTTTTGCATTCTTTTATCATTATCTGAGAGGTCCCCCAGAGGAAGGCATCACAGCCGAAACGTTGGGGTTTCATTTCTCCTGCTCTTGGTCAGTATACCTCTTTTTAATGGGTTTTTGCATTTAGCACTTTACTTACATTGTGGTATTGGTACTATATAATGGTTTAGCACTATACTATGCACCTTCTCTCTGCTATAATGATATCTTGTTGTATTTTCTATGCATGAATAAATACTCTTTTTATGTGCAAAACCGTCGTGTGCCTTGGGATCATTTCTTATTTTTTTATTGCATTCTTTTATCATGGACAGAATATCTCTGAATATCTAATACTGAACAAAAGAGGTAACAAAATAAAAAATGAGAATTATCCAAATTAATTCTTGGAAATTTGTAGCTAAAAAACGTTTCCTGTGTCTTTGTTGTCAGGAATTCTATTGTCAGTGAATTAGAGAAATAAGGATGACTTTCATTTCAAAGTACGTGCCCATACATTCCATCTATGAAGAGAAATTATCTTGAGAACGTGAGCCACGTAAGTATTTTCTCGATTTCAACTTAAAGTGACACTATAGTCAACAAAACAGGCACCCAGACCACTTCTGGCTATTGGAGTGGTCTGGGTGCCAACTCCCATCACCCTTAACCCTGCAATTGTAAATATTGGAGTCTTTATAAACTGCACTAATTACCTTGCAGGGTTAAGTCCTCCTCTAGTGGCTGTCTAGCAGACAGCCACTAGAGGGACTTCCGTGTTCTTAAAACATGAAAAGTGTTTTAAACTATGCTGGACGTCCTCACGCTATGCATGAGGACCTCCAGCGTCACCAGAATCCCCATAGGAAAGCACTGAATAATGCTTTCCTATGGGGAGTTCTAATGCGCGTGCGCGGCCATTGCCACGCATATGCATTAGTTCTACCCTGCCAGCTGACGTCGTCAGGGGAGTAGCGTGGGCGGACCCTGAACCAGCGCCGAGGATGGCGCTGGATTCAGGTAAGTCACTGAATGGGTTTTAACCCCTTCAGCAACATGAGATGGGGGGTGGGAGGGAGGGGGCACTGCAGGGTCCTGCAGTGCCATGAAAACTGATTTAATGAAGCAGTTTTGTGTATAGTTCATGCACCATGCAGTCTCACTACTCAATTCTCTGTCATTTATGAGTTAAAATTACTTTATGTAGCCCTAGTTACACCTCCCCATATGTGACTTAAACAGCCTTTCTAAACACTTCATGTAATGAGTCATCTAATGTTTCTACTTCCTTTATTGCAAATTATGTTTAATTTAGAATTTCTCCTCTCCCGCACGGTAATAGCTTGCTAGACAATGTAGGAGCCTCCTACATGTGATTAAAAGTTTTTATCTCCTGCTCTTTAAATTGAACTTTAAAGGAAGTTAACAACGGATGGAAAATTAAACCATTCTTTTCATGCAGGCTGTACATGTCACAGCTAGGGTAGGTGCGGCTATGGCTGCATAAACAGAAACAAAAGTGATTAAACT